TTTAAGGATGATGGAAATAAACTGAAGCAGGCATTCCAGAAGCTGAGGCCCAAAGCCCAGGCCAAACAGCCAAGAAAGACTCTTTCTCTAGCCTCACCTCAGGCAGAGTCAGCTTTCGGTCAACACCAAAGAATTTATCCACACAGATGGCAGTTCTCATATTTTTCCCATTTTATCTTTTGTAGTTGATTTTTTGAATTAAAAACAGACAACTGTATTGTTACCTGTATTAAATTTTTATCTGAGTAGACACAGGACTACACTTTGGCCTGTCCAGGTATTTTAAGCCCATCAGGATATTATTATTCCTTGTCCCTTCCAATGCCCACCAGTTAGAGACCCATTTGGTATTTTATCAGTATCACATCCAGATTACTTACTGATAAACTGCTGAGCAAAACGCATCACAGAAAGAGCCCCACAGTGGCTGCTAAGCCCTTCTGGTTGAAATTCTTCTTTTCATGAGCACTTACTTATGGTCAAAAGTCAAAAGAGACTTTAAACCAGTCATTTAACTATTTAGCTGCACAGTTGCAGCCCACATTTCTCAAGGATGTTTTGGGACTTTGTTAAATGTCTTCCTAAAATTCAAATACATTCGTTCTTTTGATCAAATTCTCATGATTTCCTGTTACTTATTCTAAGTGGATCTGTGCTGCCTCTTGGAGATCACCGCTTCACTTCTAAGTGCTTATAAACCACTAAAGTGGGTAATATGCTTTTCTAAAATTTCACTCAGGATTGATAAATTCAGTGGTCTAGGATTTAAAGACACGCTCTAACACACGAACCTTTGGAGCCATGCACCTGCCTGATTTTCCCGCATCATTAGGTTGGTTGGGCCCGAAGCACAGCCCAACCTAATTCAAGCACACATACATCTAGTTCCTGCTGAGGTCCTATGACTTGTGTGACACTTGCTAGAGTCTGTGAGCATCTGATCACGTTCCCTGAGCAGGAAGTGGGTTGGTAGCTGGGGCTGAGAGGGTGTGGGGCACCATTTCATACGGCATAGAAAGAGGCTGGATGATCAAACTGAGAGGGGGGTGGTCCATAGCAGAATCAAGTCCAACCCACAGCAGGCCCATGCCAGACTTCCAAATCCAAAGGAGGCCACCCAGAAAGCAGAGCAAGTACAAACAAGCTGAAACATCAGGGAAGCCATGAGGAGCAGAGCTGAATGAGAGGGTGCGTCAGGAGTAACTCCTGACTCAGCTCTATCTTGCTTCTAGCCAATACTTGGCGTGGCACAGGAGGGCCTGTCTGCTGGAAGGAAACGCGCAATTTAGTAAGAGTCAGTCCTGCTTAAATGCCTGACATTGTCAGCATAAAAAGGAGAACTCTGTTGGCATTAAAACCCATGCATATTTATTTAGGTTAGAATTTAAGATAGTAATAGCCAAGTGCCTTCTATATGACAAGCACTGTTCTTTATTAATCCTCGTAACAGTGCTACTGTGAAGTATGACCGTGTTCCTATTTTACAGATGAAGAAACTGAGGCTATGTAAGAAATTCACACAACGGGTGAGATGTGAACTAGGCAAGTATGACCCCAAAGTTGGTACTTGTAATTCCTATCCATTACAGCCCCATAGAATAAAAAAGAATTCTTTACATAAAATAATTACTATACTTCCTTGTCCATGATAAGGTGTGAAACAGTAAATGGAAATGGAGTAGGCCTTATATGTTCCTTCTTGGACCTTATCATCAGTTTCAGTGACAAAGAGTTAAGCAGAGTTCAGCAGGAAGGCAGAAGAAGTAGGTTTTCTTAATTTTCCAGGGTAAACCTTTCTAATGTACCTTTATGATTTTTATCACAGAAGAGATTTTAAACAAGTAAATCCAAAGTTAATATAAGAAATTCAAGGTGAAACACTTAACCCATTTGGGTTATCTGTATTCTTGCGTCCATTTATTCTGATAAATTTTAACTGTTTATCTAAATGTGAGCATTTTTGTTATAATAACGAGTTCTCATTTCTCCCTCTGGCTACTTCCGGTTGTCTGTCTACTCCTTATCTTCATAATAAGGGCACTTTATAGTTCTTTCTGCAAACAGAGTCCTCTAACATGGTGCCAATGATTTGTTTTTAAAGAGACAATGTATCTAAAAATTAACTAGATTAAATCAGTCTTTACTTTCATTTTAAACGAAAAGTTTATTCATTCCTAATGTTCTGTACACATCTGTACTTGGAAATTCCATTTCAGACACAAATGAATAGATTACATCTTCCAAAGCAAAAAGATCTTGATGAACTAAAACGGTATGCGTTTGCTTTAGCATTAAGTCTGGCTGGCTAATTCCACAGGGTCAAACATTGCACTTAACTTGTGTCAGCTGGGATCAGGGTAAAGGTGTTTCACGGGTCATACATTTTGCTTTAGCACACATTTAATTCCCTCACAATGTTCAATTTCACATTTAAAAAGCAAATTAGTCATTAATTCCTTAACAAACATAATAAATGTCTACCTTGATTGAAAAGTTTCAAATAAAATAATGAAACTATAGGTTTTTCAACAAATGCTTAGCCAAATAAGTATTGCAAATATAGGTTTAGACAGATTACAAAATAATACAGGTACACATAAGTCACACACTACAGCATCTAAACTGGAAAAATATTACAGAATGGTGGCATGCAAGTATTTTACATTTTTAAATGCAATGAAAAATGCTTGTTTCCCTTGAATAGATGAAACAGAATTAAGATAAGGGCTTAATTAAAATGTAAATATTCTATGTGGAATTGTATTTTTGGGGGGAAAAAGTGGCAGAGATAAAAATTTTAGGTCAGAACAATTTCTTAACTAAAGATTGTCACTGGCAACGTTTGCTATTAAAATAAAATTTCTTAAAATGCACATTTTCTTCCATCTCATTTCATCATAGGGCCAATTCCCATCTACCCACATTTAGATTACCCATGGGGAATTTTTAATACTGGGCCAGCTTCTCTCAACTGCACATGTACTTCTGATTGGCTTCTCTGTTATCCAATCAATATGCTCTCAGAAACACACACACACACACACACACACACACACACACACACCTTAAATAAAAACCTATGGAAAACATGCTGTTTACTGTGCTCAGTTTCCTTCTCCGCATTTCCCTCTTTCCACCACTGACCCTGAGGAGAAGAGATTAGGTATTTTAAAATATCCTTTCAGGAAAGACTGCTCCTTGAGAACAGACAACTGCCTGGGAAATTCAGACCTGTTCCTCTGAACAAAGCCTTCTGAAGAGAGACAAAACTGCAAAGGAAACATCTTAGAACCACAGGATTGTAATGTTCAGGAGCTGGGAGGGGCCTAGGAGAGCACCTACTCCACTCACTTCATTCTTCAGATGAAATGAAGACAAGATAGATGGGAGTCTTGCCCAAAGCCACACACAGCTGATAGCCAAATCAGTATTGTTTTCCAAAAAGACCACATGGTGGCAAGTGGAGCTTTTTCTGTTTTTTGTTTTTTTTTGAGCTGGAGGACAATTTAATTCAGGCAACATTTATTAAGCACCTATTGTGTACAAAGCACCTTACTAGATTCTACTGAAAGTACAAAGTTTGATGAGATAGTTGTTGCCTCCAAGTGCTTATGAAAAGTCCCATGAGGCCATGTTTCAAGATCTTTCCCAGCAGAAAATAATACTGGGCAGGGCTAAGGTTGCTGGTGATCACGAGGCAGCTGCTGCCCAGGAGAGCTGCTATCACAAGTGAGCCACGAGGGCAGTCTTTTCTCCTAGCCCTCTGTCACACCTCCAGTCATAGCCTGTCTCACCCTGAGAGGTGGCAGAGCTGACAGGAGGGCAGCAGTGCCCAGACCCTCTCCTCAAATCACTTCCCCCAGGTGTCCAGCCTTAGGCTCCCCACAAGGGTCCTGACCATGTCCCAAAGAACCTCCAGGGTGACTCAGGAAAATGCCCGACCACACATGTCACTGGGATGTCATACCCACTGCCCCCACTAACCACCTGGCCCATGTCTGTGTGAAAAATGAAGCAGTTCCACGCCCCTACGTGATACTCGTGCTTCTATTTGCCATACTCAAAACATGCGGACGACGTAATTGTTGGTCAGAAGAAAATAGATTCAAGAGGCAGTGGAAAACATTAGTGAAGAGATGATAAAAATCATCTCCCATTTTCGTATAGTCCTTTCCAGTATAGTATTTTCATCTTACTATCTTATTATTTTCTCACCACAACTCTGTGAGGTAGTTAGTGAAGACATTATTACCATCATAATACAGCTGAAGAAGCTTAGGCCTGAGAGACTAAGTGGCTTGCCTCAAAGTCACCCAGCTAAGAAAGTGTGGAGCCAAGTCTTCAGGTTTCTTGACTCCAAATCCCGAGCTCTTCCCCCTGTATAGTCTGTAATTAAATCATGGGCAATTAAATGAATTGCCCATGATTATATACCTGCTATGTGTTGGTGACCAGATTAGGAGTCAGTCTCTAATCTGTTAGTACGGTGCCCTTTCCCCACACCAACTAGCAAAGCCAGTGTGCTCAGAATGACTGCCAGGGACGATACCGGAGAACTGTCTAGCCTTCTTCACCCTCCCCCAAGTCAATGATGCATCACAAACCCGGAAGAACCCCGGTACACGTACAGTCTGTCTAGAGCTGTACCCAGAGGCAGTTTCCCAATTTAGACCCTGGAACTCCACCCCTAGTCACCTGCTGAATATTCAATCACTGATGTTATCGGCAGTTGGGAAAGAGGTAAGCTGAGCAGAGCCTACTTCTGCCATTACGCAAGTTAAAGCCTTTAATTTCCATCTTCCTTCTTCACCTCACTCAGCCTCTCCACTTTACCCAAATCCTGAATCACAAAATGACATCCAACCTAATCCAGACTTGGTAGCAAGAAACAATGAACCCATCCTAGGTTCTGGGTACTTTTCTCTCTCTAGTTTGTTGTGGAGGAGGGGAGGGGGTAGAGGGGTGGGGGCTGGAGCGGGCGGGGCGGGGGCGGGGGGGGGGGGAGCTTGTCATGTGATTTTCATCCAGAGGGCTCAGCCTGACGCTTCCATCATTCTCACACCTTCTCTCTGCATGTGTCTCAGTCCTTTAGTTTTGAAAATGGTACAGTATGTGATGGGGAGACTTGAAATGAGGAGCAACAAGGGAAAACTGCTACTGGAAGGCAGAGCTAAAACATTTCATCTTCGTTCTCTGCTCATTAAAATGAAAGTAGCTATTACTGCATCATTAGTGTATGAGAGGAAGGAAGCTTCAGGATCATGAGTTAAAACCTGATTCCAGAAACAGTTCCACTGAGTGCAGGTAACATACCACAGAACCTAGTGTTCACATCTTAACAGCCCCTGCTTGTTTTTGCTGATGCTATAAATACTTGCACTAAAAGATGGTGTCCACTTTGCAAAAAGGCACTCTGCCTGCAAAGCTCAAGAAACACATATCAAATTATACCATTCCAGAGTTCTGTACTTCCTCTGTCTCCTTCACGGTGCCTAGGAGAGGGCTAAGTATACCATGGTCACAAAAAAGGGAAATATCTGCAAACTCTTTCGTGAATTTAAAGGGTTACATTGATGGCATGCTGATGCTTACATAACACCAGGTGTGAGGGTCTGAAAGGTTCTCGTCCAGTTACTCAGAGCACACTGGTTTCCCTAGTGCTGGTGCCTTGCCAGGGACCACGTTTCTGTCTGGAAGGGAAGCTGCTGCTCTTTTTGCCTGGTGTGCCAGCCTTCCCTTAGGGAAACTCTTTTGAGGAACACAGGCATTTGGGATTTCTGAGTTTTGAAATGGAGGTGGGCTTTTACTCAGCTGTGCGCTCTCTGATGGGTGAGCTGCATGTGCCCCTCCACTGACTCTGCCTAACTGAGGCCTGTAGCCATGCTGAGAGGAGTATCAGGGAAGTGGGACTGAGAGACAGCATCTCCCTTCAACCAGTTGTCCAGATTTAGCCAAATAGCTTCTTCCAGTATTTGGTGATCTTCATGTACAAAATATGTATACACGTTTGCATGGTATACCCTAACACAGATGGAAGGAAAGGGCCGGACTGCGCTGATGAAGATGATAGAGCTTCTACTTATACACTTTAGGTGTATGGAGAGATTTGGGGCTGAAACAATGAAATGATTTCAAGGTTTCTAATATTTATTCCCCAAGGTTCCTGTCCATACATGCTGTAAAATCTGGTGGTTGGTGACCTGAAAGTCCAGGGAGTGACTTCGCATTAACCTGGGCCTGCAGCTACTCTAAAAATGACCAGGGACATGGAGCTGGGGCAAGAGCACCCCTCACCCCTTCAATCAGCTGTCCAGATGTAGCCAAACACCCAGTTAGGTATTAGTTAGATATTTGGCAATATTCAGACACACACTACATTTATTTACACTAGGCCCTACCGAGATGAAAGGGATTTAATCATGCTGATGACAATGAAACAGCTTCCATTCCACACTTCCACAAGATGGGGGGATGCACTGCTGGACTACTGACGTGACCTCCAGACTTCCAGAATGCATCTCTTAAAAGCCACCTTTTAGGAGTCATGCAATAAGAACCTGCAGGCCCAGGCTAGTCATCATGACCTGATGACAAGCCTAATGACAAGAAGGAAGGAGGTGGCCTGAGGAGAGATTATCTCCCTTCAATCAGATGTCCAGATGTCACCAAATATCTCAACATAGTATTTGGCAAAATGTATACATATAAAAATATTTTGTATACATTATGCACCACCATGATCATGAAGGAACTTCATGAAGTGACACTTTGGGCAGATGGAGAGATGGGGTCCTAGGCTAATTAAATGATTAATAGGCTCCCACGATGTAAGTTTATTTTCTAATAGTTATCTTTAACATAAAGATACTAATGGGAATACTCATGAAAATGTCACCTTTCAAGCTACTTTTAAAACACAGGTAATATTAAGATAAAATGATTAGTAATAAATATTTTATTTCATAGACTCTATTACCTGTGACCCAACTATTTTACAAGCTGAATAGTGCTAAATTTTGATGGTACCCCCATTACCTTGCTTTAATACTATCAACAACTGCAGCACAATTACAATCAAGTTCTGATTTTTTTTCTTGCTTTTGCCAGTGTGTGTCAGAAACTGCTCCAGCCCCCAGCCTACAGCACCTGGGGGCTGCAGAAGACACTCTGGAGAATCCGAGATTTCTTAGGAGTGAAGGTAAGAAAGAGAGTGAATGAGAAAAGAAAGGAAAGAGCCTTACTTGAAGGGGTGTGCCAGGGACTCAGCACTTAAATATATAGGCAATGAATCTAAAATGACAGAAAACACAGAAGAGAAATGTTTTTTTCTTTGGCAACATGGTAACCAAAACTTATGTATATGAGAAAAAATTGTATACATTGCTGATGAATGTTTATAAACCAGCAACCTAGCAGAGAAAAGCCCTGATTTATAGTATTTGATCATTTCTTTCATATAAATACTCCCACCACAGCCAATTCCAAACCACCAACAAGTACTGAACTTGAGGTTGGAAGAGGTGTGAACAGCACACTGTTGCGTAGAGTCTGCCACACAGACACAACAGGTGCAAACAGTTTTAAGAGCCTAGAAAATGGTAAAATCTTTGAGTACTATTTTTGTTTTTAATATAACATATTTAACTGTAAATGTATGTCATTTAATATTTTTTAAGATTTTATTTATCTTTAGAGGGGAAGGGAAGGAGAGAGGGAGAGAAATATCAATGTATGGTTGCCTCTCGTGCGTCCCCTGCTGGGAACTAGCCTGCAACCCAGGCATGTGCCCCAACTGGGAATTGAACCACGATCCTTTGGTTCGCAGGCCAACGCTCAATCCACTGAGCTAAACCAGCCAGGGCATCATTTAATTTTTATAATGGCTGTGTTTAACAATCTGTTTGCAAAATTCTTGAAACTCTGATCATCAGGAAGCCTGTATAAGTTGGCTCCAACCTTCCACACCTAAGTGATTAGGAGGGAAGGTAAAAATCAGACTGAAAACCATTAAATAATATGTACTGTACTTTTTTTTATAATAGGGAGACGTGGTAAAAAACTAAAGACTTTTTAGGGTTCTAAAAATGTCAACATGTTCTGCTCATTAGTCCCTTAAAAAAAAAATAAAACATTCTCAAGAAAATGAGATGTTTCAAAGGATTTTAGGGCTATAGATGTGAGTATCTGAAATACAGGTAAAGGTCTAATTTGAGAAAGGCCGTCTATCTTCAACGGTTTCCATGTGCTTTACAAACTAACTAGAATAATATGTGAATTGTTTTACGTTGACTGGTTGGTTGTACTGCTCTCAAGCAACTCGGGAGCACTCAGTTATTAAACAGAGCCTGGACTGGGCCCACCTTCTGCCAGAGTCAGCACCTCTCTGGCTCCAGGTGTTGCCTGCACAAGGGAAGCCAACTTTGCCAAGGCTCAAATTACAGAGGAGAGAAAAGAGAGAATGAGCTGGAAGGGCGGGAGGAGAGCAGGGAGTAAGCCACTTGTCAGAGTTGCCGCCAACGACAGCCGTGGGCACCGAGTTGGCAAAGATCTGTTTCCTTAGTGCAGGTTGCGAGTTGCGCTTCTGGGTTAGAAGATTAACACTCACTATCGTGCAATCATCTCAGTTGTGCTTTCCTGGCTCTCGTTCTTGAGATGACAAACACCTGGGTAAGTGATAATTCACACTTTCTCCTGACGTTTGCAAATGTCTGGATGGATCATGCCACGTAGACAAAACTCTGTATAATTAATTCGAATGTTCTCATTTCATCCTGTGATCTTGCTACACTAAAAGAAAAAGCAATAAATGCTTCTAAAATGTGCCAAAATAATGCAGTCGTGTGTATCAGACAACCTTGATTAAGGTGTAATCATTATTGTTTTATTTGGGGATGTACTGTTTTGAAAGTCTCCCTCTTACTAATATTTAAAAATAACCACCATGTCTGGAACACTTTCAAACAGCTTTGTGAAAAATTATCCATCAGAGAGTCATGTGAAAGACTGAATTTATGGTGAATAATCAGTAAAGGTAGACGTAGCAGTTCATTTTGCTGCCTGTGAGTCTGGCTGGAAGCTATATTTGTGGGTTAGTAACAATTTTATTTACTTATTTAGTAAGGCTGTGTTAAAGTATCATAATGCTGTCTGGTTTTTATGAAGATGACACCACTGATTTCTGATCAGTGGGCGCATGTGCATTTAGAGATATTTCTGGAACTCGTAGAATTTGTGCTAAGTTGGGTCACATTTTCTCGTCCAGGGAAAGATTGGCAATACTAATTTCTTCTGTGGTCAGCAGAACACTTCTGATGTACTTAGCCTAACTCAAAGCCATGCATGTAAACAGAGATAGGCCTCTATCATAATCACAGTTACAAACACACTTACATACTAAACTCCTTTCAGTGGTTAAAAAAAAGTCTATGTAACAAAGTAAGACAACCCAACATGAAAGTGGTAAAATCATTTTCGAGTGCTGCCATCCACTGCAGATCTGCACATGGCCACTGGTGCAAGCTGCCAGAGGCACCCACGAGCAAATAAAACAACTGTATACATTTAAAATCCAAGATAAATAAGGAGTGCTAAAAAAGAGTAACAATTAAATTATTAGTTGTGTGGTTAACGAAAATGAACGACCTTTCATGAAATGGTCCCGATGGGGAAGGAGAAGAGTTTCTGTTCGTTTTTAAATGGCTGCCGTGGTGAACCTTTACCTCTTGTAGAAGTTTACCTTCGGTCTCCTTCAACTCGCTTTTTACGAACTAGGTAAAAAAGAAATAAGGGTTAAAAAGACAAAGTGAAGGAATACTCCTTAAATTTCAGAGAAACAACATTAATCATAGAGAATAACAATCCCACACCCTTGAAGATACAGTTATCTTAAATTTCAATATTCAAATTATTTACTGGATTATTCTATCATTTCCAATAATGATAGAATAATACAGTGTCTTGTGAGATGTGCATTTAAATAAACCTATGTCTGTTAGCATTTCCCCATTTCTATGGAGAAGGTCCAGAATAGATCCACAAAGGAGCAAACTTCTAGGTAATTTCTGGGTCACTCATCCACAGCCCATATTCTCAACTTCTGTGCAACTTGCTCACTGACTGGCTTTAACGAATGCTGCAGGATGACACATTCACAATCAGTTAATTTTGATTATAGCTTAAAGACCAAGAGGGTCTGCTATTGGAAGATCAAAATTTCTAAGCCTGTTTTAAATAAAACCTCCTGAGAATCAACCTCCAAGGGAGGGGTGATTCAGATGGCAAGTGAACGGAGATTAGAAGTTGCCTGGCTGCCCATCCCCAGTATCTGCAACCCAATCCTTCCCCCTTTCACTTCCCCACCTGCAGGCTCTTCTGGTGGGTAGGAGGAAGGCTTCCTGAACTTAGCAAAAATGGTGCCCTGGCTGTGGTCCTGCCCCATCTCTCCTCTTTAAATGGCCCGGCCTACCAAAGGTGTAGCCGACAGCCACTGCTGCCGGGCTCAGGATGGCCTCCCAGATCATTTCAGGCCTCTTGTGTGGTGCGCCTGTTTTCCTTTGGTCTCCGTGTTGTTCAGCTGTGGGCTCCGTGTTGTTCAGCTTTTCCTAGATGCTTTCCGACTACTGCCTTCACCCTTCCCCAAAGATCTGTTTGCTGGGATGCTGCTTTCTTAGCCTCTGTACCCTGAAGACAAAAGCTGCCACATGCCTGGCTGGCCACTAGATGCCACACACTGCACCCTGGCTGGGCCTCAGGGTCTTGGCTAAGCATGTGTAGGCAGGGAACTGGGCACTAACCTTTATCTGCCCCCTTCTATCTTAGGCTTCTGCCTCACCCACTATCTGAACCCTCCCCATGGCCAGCACTGTACTTGGTGGAACAGTGTACCCTGTTCCCCTGTCTAAGGTCTGGCATTCTGACCCTGAACCTCAAACAGGAGACTGAAGCCTGCTATGTCTGACTGCTCGCCAAGTGGACTGTCTGCGCCCGCATGTCCTTTTGCCATGCTGCTTCAGGTGGCTGGGATGTCCCCAGATCAAGCCTTTCCAATCTGTCCCACTCTTCTGTACTGCGGTTGACTAGGACACACCCCACCTCATTCTAACAGAAGAAATGCCAGAGTCTCAGCAAAGAGTGGACAGCAGGAAAGATTAAGGAGAGGCTAACTTAAAAAGCTACCTCTGAGTTTACCTTCATATCATAGTTCCATTAATTCAGCCCACGTGTAAATTACCGAAGTATCAGACAGAGCCACATTTAAACCCAAGTACAGGGCACCGTCAGGACTCAAACATAAGTGAACTGGGAATTTCCATGTCACTGTGTCCATCCACCTTCTGGTGTGGACAGCAACAAAGGGCGATTACATGTAATAAGTAAAGGAGAAGCAAATACATAAAGGAAACCAAGCAAAAATCACAGGCTGTCTGGAAAACAGAACAAACCATTCTCGAGAGAACACTACAATAAAACTTAAACACTGTGAGGATGAGGAGGGTTCCCATGACCATGGAATAGCAGGCCTTTGATGAAGGGCTGGCACTAAAGGCCAGTGGAATGGAGAGGTGTTATACGTGAAGTGGACAAATGAACGATCATCACGCTTTTCTAACAGCTAACGGCATGTGCTATGGCTGCATTACCCAGGTCGTTATTCTTTGTGATGGCAGCTGCCACCCTTGTTCGTGGTCCTTGCTTGGTAAACTGATATCCAAATTTGAGGATCCTGGAGTTCTCCTCGAGCATCTGGGCAATTTCCATCTCTACGGCTGTTCCCAGCTGCTGTCTCTGGTCGCAGGTGCAGACACAGACGTGGCGTGACAAGAAGAAAGAGGAAAGAGTCACTTGTGTGGGACAGATTCATGTTGGATTAAAAAAAGCAAAGAGGCAAAAATCTCCAGCTGAATGGGCAAAGCGGCTGGAGATATTTTCCCCCCCGTCCTCCTTTGCTCTTTGCCGAGAAGCAAAACCCAACAGACAGTCAAACCCACTGGCTGCTAACCTGAGAAGATGAAGCCAATAATTTATTAAGGAAAAGGTGACAGCAGATGTAAAATTACAGCAAAATGACTATTTGGCGTGTGTAATTTACCCCCAGTACCTGTACTTCAAACAGGTGTTTTTAAATAGTGAAACTGTCTTACAGCCATCAAGACGATGAATGAGTTTTCTATTCTGGGATCCATATCCAAAAATAATTAAAGACCACTGTGCCATTCTCTCTCCGGAGAGTCTTACTCGGAGATTCTCAATAGGCTTTACTGTGGTCTGAACCCCAGCCAGGTGAGTTCTCAAACACCAAAGGAATTACTGGCCTACAGAAAAGTCCCTGAGTATTTCATGTTTCTGAAAAGAGGTATTTGTTTGTCTTTTTAAAAAACTTTTTAAAAGATTTTATTTATTTATCTTTTAGAGGGGAAGGGAAGGAGAGAAGGAGAAAAATATCAATGTTGGTTGTCTCTCATGCATCCCCCACTGGGAACTGGCCTGCAGCCCAGGCATGTGCCCTGACTGGGAATCGAACCGCGATTGTGTGGTTCGCAGGCCCATGATCAATCCATTGAGCTAAACCAGTCAGGGCTATTTGTTTGTCTTTTAAGTTGAGAAACAGAATAATACAAACATTAAAAGTAGATATTTCAAAATGGTGACATGTAAAACTAAGAATTTAAAATTAAATTTAAGGGACTCTATATTTTTTCATAACATATACATTAAATATTTTAAAGTAAAAATACAGGCTTGTTTAGAAATAAACAAAGGAAGTGTATAAAATATAAAAGCTCCCTTCCCCTAATATTCCCATTCCCCACAGAGGAAGCCAGTTTAGCAGATAGTATGTAGTCTTTTAAACATTTGCTATGCATTTACATGTCTATGTAAACTCCTGTACATGTATGCTTTTTTCACAGAAATGAATTCTACTGGCACATTGTCAAACAGGTTTTTATTTTTCATTTAACATTAGAACCACCTTTTCGTGTTGGTAAATATACGTTGACCTCATCCAACAGCAGAGCATTCCATTATAGTAATGAATCGTAATTTACGCAGCCAGGTCCAGGACTGACTGGTACATTGCCTTCCCTGTCCACCTTGCAGACAGTGCTGCAGGGATCTTCCTGAGCACATGCACTGGACGCCGGCGTGTTTCTGCCAGTGCGCCGGAGGCAGATTTTAGCTGGGTCCAAAAGTAAGCCTGTTTTCATTTTAGATACATTACTATTTTACCCTCCAAGGTTATGACAATTTTTGCTCCTGCTAATAGTGTTTGAGAGTTACTGTTTCCCCTACTCTAAGCAACACGGTATATTACCAATTTTTTCGCCTTTGTCAATAAAGTAGGTGCAACTTATATCTCACTTGTATACATTTAATCACTTTAATTTGCCATTCTCAAATTATGAGTAAGAACAATTAATTTTCACATGTATTTGTGTTTCTTTTTTTGGAAACTACTAATATCTGTCATTTGCCCATTTTTCTCCCAGGTTATAGTTCCTGGATGTTTTTTATTGACACGTAAATTTCTTGTATATTAGGAAATTAGCCCTTTGTCAGATGTGCTGAAACTACTTTGCTCAGTTTGTCTTTGTTTTTGAGTACTATAAAGGTCTTTATATGGTCATATGGTCAAATTCATCAATCTGTATTTTATATCATGTTTAGAAAGTCTCTGTTGATGTTTTTCCAATTGTTTTATAATTTTGCATATTGTAATAGTTAAACCTTGATTTCATCTGAGATGAATTTTAGTATGAGAACTAAAATAGAACACGAACTTTATTTTGTTCCAAAATGCCAGCAAATTTCTCCACCACCTTTTACTTTTTTCCCTCCATCATTTGAGATAACACTTTGCTGCAAAATTCTCACATACACCTGAGTGTTTCTGGACTCTATTACTCTGCCAGTCTACTTCTGTGCCAGTATCATGCAATTAAATTGCTTTACAATATATTTTAGAATATATATATACCTTTTCAATTTGAAAAATTTAAGTATGGAATAGATAAAAGAGAAAATGTATGGAGGAAGTTTTTTGTCCTTGGCAAGTTCTAGGGCTTAATGATCTGCTCTTCATCTTTCTTTTCATCTAACAACCTGCCAAACGAGTCTCTTACCAAAATATTCACAGAATGTGGTACTTCCAGAAAGACAACAATTTTGGGAATGCACAGGGTAGAGATTAGCGTTCTAAGCAATGTGGGTCTATGGGAGGGAGAAGCAGCAAAAATGTAAGAGATACTGACCTCATATTTTCATGAGCAACTTTAAGTCATGACACACTTTCAAACAATGGGGCTGTATTAAAGACCGAGACCCAAGCTAAGGCTGGGACTGCCAGAGTTATGGCTTATGCCCCTGGACTGGGCAAAGGGGCTCTACCCACTGGCAGCAGGAGCTCATGGTGCACTGATTGAGAGGGAAGATGTAACGGTTTCTTTACTTCCCCTCACAAATCTCAAGCTTTTGGAGTCCTGCACCTGGGTAACTTGGAGGATGGCGTGCTAATGGTGATATAAACGAGCTGAAGAAAATTGTAATGGGAGGGGGAATATAATAGAAAAGAATAAAGTAATATAACAGAGGGCATCTTTCTTTCTCAGCCTGAATCTTCTTTGTTGGATTTGAGATCTTTTGCATTGTATAAACAAGGCAACAAAAGGGCACCAAAAGCTCTTATAATTGGGATAGTATGTTTCTCTTTTTTAAGCCGCTAAATACGAAGAAAAAAGAAACAGAAGCTTATGCATACATTTCTTAAGATAACTTTCTGCTTTTTCTTTAAGTCACCTCTTTTCCATACTCAAATTTATTTAGTCATGAATCTGCATCACCACTTGCTCTTCTCACGGGGCTCTCTGTTAAGTCATTACATGTTTTTACTGGGAGCCCATGCATGGCAGGTTCTCAGCAGGCTTTCATTCTGGTGCAGGTGCCTGCTACAATGCTACCAAATGGGTCTCAGCTGCTGACCCTGCCTGCGGAAACTGTCTTAGAGATGAGTTTATTTCAAACCCTTCATTAGACACATGAGGAAACTGAGATTTACTTCCAACAGTCTGAGTCAGTGAACAAAATTGTGGGTGGGAATCAAGTATCGACTCTGAATTTCCTCATCTGTAGAAGAAAGCAAAGAATTTTCCAGATCTAGAACTTAATTCTCTTTCTCATTATAAGTAAAGAGATGTCATTTCAGAGGCATACTGGGGGACTGAAGTTGAAAAATTAGGACTTCTGGTCAAGATTGCAGCATAGGCAAACATGGCTTGCTCCTTCACACAACTACATCAAAACTGTAACTAAAATACAGAACAACCATCACTTGGAACTGTCAGAAATTGAGTTGAATGGAAGTCTGACAATGACAGAATTAAAGAAACCACATCCATCCAGACTGGTAGGAGGGGTGAAGATGTGGAACAGGCTGGTCCCTCGCCCAAGTGTGGTGGATAAAAATTCAGGAGGGATATCTTGGGAACAGGGAGTCCCAGCCTCACACCAGGACCCAGAGCTCCAGGGAGAGGAGAATAAGTCCCCACAACTTCTGGCTGCAAAAACCAGTGGGGATTGACTTGGTGAAAGAAACTTCTGGAGCCCCAAAAGGTTCCTCTTTAAAAACTCACACACAGACTCACCTACTCAGACTCAACCCCTCTGAGCTCCAGCAGCTGGGCAGCACCTTGAAAGGCATCAGTGGCATTCAGGGAGAAACTGAAGTGTCTGGCATCAAGGTACGCAGAGGCCATTGTTGCTTTTCTAAGCCTTTCCCCAACTGAGCCAGCAGACTGGTGCTGTATCTAAGATTCAATCAACCTGTCTAACACAGTTTGACCTGCCTTGAAGATCCCCAGAGACTCCATCCCACCTAACTTATAGACCAACCCAAGCTGCTTTTCCATATGAATGGTTGGCCTTGGCTCATGGTTCACAACTTCCAAATCCTCTCAAACAAGCAACTGGCCTCAGTGAGCCCCAGGGCCAGCACTAGTAGCAGCCAGCTGATTCACAGCTTGGCTTCTCCTGGGAATCTCCAAGCCCAGCACAAGTAGCAGCCATCTCAGTTGGCTTTATAGCTCAGACAGGGTGGCCTCAGGCAAAATACAGATGGGAGCTGACCTTGGCCTGCACCACCTGGGAAACCACAGGGCCAGCACACCCAGTGGACAGCTACAGACCACGTCAGAGAACCACCACCCTGCCCCTGCACAGCTGAGCATCCACAGAGGGCGGAGGTTGGTGGTGAGTGGTCACAGCCAATCCTCACAGCTGACTGGCCTGGGTAAATCCCTTCCATTGATGTGCCAACAGCAACCAAAGCTCAACTACAAGAGGAAGGTGTACTCAGCCCACAGGAAGGGTGCACCTCAGGTACCCAGCTGGGGTAATAGGGGAGGCTGTGCCACAGGACCCTACAGGACACCTACTACATTAGACCATACTACCAAGACATGAAGTCAAAGCAGCTCTACCTAATATATAGAAACAAACACAGGGAGGCTGCCAAAATGAAGAGACAAAGAAACATGACCCAAATGAAAGAACAGATCAATACTCCAAAAAAGGAGCTAAACAAAATGGACATGAGCAATCTATCAGATGCAGAATTCAAAACCCTGGTTATAAAAATGCTCAAGGAACTTAGTGAGGACCTCAGCAGCATAAAAAAGATCCAGTCATAAATGTAGGCTACACTAATTGAAATAAAGAACATTTACAAGGAAACAACAGTAGACTGGATGAAGACAAGAATTAAATCAATGATTTGGTACATAAGGAAGCAAAAAATAACCAATCAGAACAATAAGAAGAAATAAGAAAAAAAAAAGATAGTCACATAAGCAACCTCTGGGACAACTTCAAGAGGTGCCAGAAGAAGAGGAGAAAAAGCAAAAAACTGGAAATCTATTTGAAAAAATAATGAAAGAAAACTCCCCTGATTTGGTGAAGGAAATAGACATGCAAATTCAGGAAGTACAGAGTCCCAAACAAGATGGATGCAAAGATCTACAATCCAAGACACATCATAATTAAGGAGCTAAAGATTAAAAATAAAGAGAGAATCTTAAAAGCAGCAAGAGAAGTTCGTTACCAACAGTGGAGTTTCCATAAGACTGTCAGCTTATTTCTTAAGAGAAACTTTGCAGGCTAGGAGGGACTGGTGAGAAATAATCAAAGTGATAAAAAGCGGGGACCTAAGCCAAAATTGCTCTACCCAGCAAAGCCATCATTTAGAATCAAAGGGCAGATAAAGAGCTTCCCAGATAAGAAAAAGCTAAAAGAGTTCATCATCACTAAACCATTATTTTATGAAATGTTAAAGTGACTTGTTTAAGAAAGAGATCAAGACTATGAACAATAAAATGGCAAAATATACAAATCTATCAACAATTGAATCTAAAAACCAAACTAAGCAAACAAGAACAGAGACAGAGTCATGGATATAGACAGTGTTTTCATTGTCACTAGACTGAAGGGGGTGAAGGGATGGGTGTGTAGGAAGAGGTGTGGGGTGAAGAGGGTGTGGGGGAATGGGCGAGGCAGGACAGGGGAGGGGATTAAGACGTACAAATGGGTAATTACAGAATAGCCACGCGGATGTAAACTACAGTATAGGGAATGGAGTAGCCAAAGAACTTATATGTGTGACTCATGGACATGAACAATGGTGGGGGTATTGCCTGAGGGAGTGGGGAAGAAGGGGGGCAATTGGGGGTGGAGATCAGGACAACTGTAATAGCATAACCAATAAAATATAATTAAAAAATGAAGCTGAAAAATTACACGAAGCCTTTCCTAGATGGCTGAAGAGGGATGATGAGGTTAATGCTTTGGAAGGGATTTAAGACAGACTTTGTACTTCAGGGTCTTCTTCACATGCATTGTAAAAAGCTGCTCTATTCTACATTTTTAGGATTTTAGCTCATTCACTAGGTATAAGGTTGTCAGATTTAACAAACAAAAATACAGGACACTCACTTAAATTTGAATTTCAATAAATACCAAGTAATGTTTCAGTAGATATATGTCCCAAATATTTCATGGGATATACATATACTAAAAATTAATTGTTCCTTATCTGGAATTCAAATTTAACTATCTTATCTGGCAACCCTAACTAGAAAATATTTCACAAGAAACTAGGAACAGACTATCTGGAACATTATTTCAGACTTGAGGTTTCACTATGGCCTAAACCAACACAAAAAGTTAAATATACTTTGGAATAAAGTGTCCACTTCCGTCTTACATCTCCTGGGAATATTTACTAAGAGTCCTCAACTTCTTCCTGATCTTAATCTATTCGATAAATATCCCTGAATCAACACTTGTTTCCTTTTCATATTTTTCTCTAGATTGTTTTCCTGCTCTCCCACTCCTTGACAGCTCTTTCTTAATGTACTAGCAGCTGGACAAACACCAAGATACACTGCATCAAGCTTCCCCTGAATGCGTATGGTCAACCCTCCTCTTCCCCCCTCCACACGTCTGCATTTGGAAAGCTGTTCTGGTGATTCATCCCTCCTGGGGAGGGTGAGGAAGGCTGCCTGTCTCCTAGTGGGTTCCCCTGCTCCCTTGGTAATAAGCCGTAGGAGGAGGGCAGATGCTGAACAGTCCCCTTGTCCTGGTTAGCAAAAAAGGAGAGGAGAGCTGTCCACGGGACCTGTTTTGGGTCACCAGGCAAAAGTCCTGTGTAGAACCCTCAGGCTTTATCACATCTTGTAGGATCTAGACCAGCGAATTTCCTAGACATCAGGGGACACTCTCAATAGGCACTTTCCCCACTGTCCCTCCCACTAACCCACAGGGGAATGCTCACAGTGCAAGTCTCCTTGCGGTCTCCTCTTTTTAGTTCCGTTCCAGGGCCCTTTCTTCCTACTATACAGCGTCTAGATCCCTCAGATTCACCAACTCCCACTGCAGGCACTTCCCTGTAGCCAAGGAGGCAGGGTACAGCATCGCGCTGAGAACTGAGGCATGCTACCCATGGGCAGGAGCCAGCTGCAGCCAGCAGAACAACTCCAGAGGCACTGCAGGCTGATGGCGGATTAGAGAGTTCTTCGGGGGACAGGAAGTGGTAGCTCTAGGGAAAAGCGGCTTGCTTTGGCTGCTGACGGGAACCGAGAAATGCAGCCACAAAGCTGAGACTGTGACTGCACTGTGCATGAGGCCTGGAGCTATTCTGAGCCAGGCCATTCCCTAGAACCCAAATTCCTTTAAATGGGCTCTGTGGCCAGCACCACACTGCAAGAACCTGGTGTGCTCTTTCTTTTAGCTCTGGCAACCTCCATCCGGGGACAAGAATTCTGTCTCCAGGAGTGGCCACTCTGCTTTCTCCTTGTATCCATAGTCCCAGTGACAGGCAACAGCAAGGCTGGGACAGGAATGTGCTGATTCCTGCTAAGAGGCAACAGTAATGATGGCTGAACAAAGCAGCTGTCACACCTCTGCCCCCACCTCCTCTCTTTCTCCTCCAGTGCCTGATAACCGAGGGCTGGGGGGGCTTGCTGGCTCTTAATGTCTCAGGCTGCCCAACTGTGCATTGCTTAATTATTAACATGCTTTCTCCGCCTTATTCCACAGGCCATCAGCTGTTATAATTCATAAGAAAGCCAGAACATCAAATCCAGCGATGCAGCTTTGTCTTACCTCACTCCATGATGGCATTCCTTTCACATGAGCCCTGTGGGTCTACTTACCTGGTTGTCGATCTTGATTTCCGTCAACGTGTCATTTTCTCTTAGTGCCTCCACCAGGGCCAGGATCCCAGTTCCGGTTATAAAATTGGATTCTACGTTTAGACTTTTCAAGGTCTTGTTTACTTTCAGCATATCTGCAAAAGCCTTATTATGGAAAATAATAATAACAATAATAATAATAATTAGGGTTGCTAAAGATTTTCTGAAGTCTCCACCCTCAAATTAAATAAGCATTTTTTACAGTACTTAAAATCTTAGTTAAATCATACTTGCACCTCCAGGTAACAAAGATAGTAATTTACAACTCAAAAATTGTTTAGTCCAGCAGCCCAGATTTATGATATTGCACATATCTGCAAAATTTTTAAAAAAAGAAAGAAAGATACCAACACAGAATGATCAACTTTGCTTTGTTAAAGTAAGGACATTTTTAAAAAAATCACTGCCATCTGTTACCATTATCAAATTTGCTTTTTAAGAAAAGGCATTTTAACATTAGGAAATATGTGCAAAGGACATAATTTCAGAATAATTTTAGCTTGGCCTTACAGTATGAATAGATTAAAGAAACTTTACCCCTGGCTAGCACTTAGGCACTACTGATTTAGTCATCTTATTTCAGGTCATCCAGAGATCAGAACTCCTCCAAGATAACTCTGGACAGAGTCATCACTCAGCATGGCAACCCCTGGAGACTCCCAGTTCACGGCCACAGACTGCACGCGTTCACCTGCTCGATCCCCTTCTTCCCCCATTTTCCACTTCATGAGGAACAGATATAATTTTTAAGCAACCGAAACTTTCACAGTGTAAGAAAATGACAACAACAAAAAAGAGAGCCATTATCTTCAAGAATTGTTAAAATATAGAAAAGAGACTGGTGGAGATCTTAGCACAAAGCTGCGCAAGATGCCAAAGATGCCTGTTCCCACAGGGCCATTTCATTCAAGAACAGACGGAACAAGTAGAGCAGGTGGAGAGCACACCATCCCTCCCCGTGGCTTCCCCAAAAAAGAGTACCTGCTGGCACACCTACCAGTGAAAAATCTCCCAAGAACAGCCTCTAGTGAAGGTGCTAGGACCACAGAGAGAAGCAGTGCAGACTCTGAGGCACCTCCAGATCATCACCAGATGCAGTGTGGATGAAAGGCCAGAGAGGCAGCTATTGCCCAGGGATGAAATACTCTCGCAGAGTAAAGCCCTCCTAACTGCAGCAGTTGTGGGGACCCCCGGCTGCCAGCCAGCTCCTCATATACTCAGGACAGAGAAGAATGCCAGTCAATTCACCTGCCTGCTTACAAAAGCACTCATCCATCCATCCATCCATCCATCCATCCATCCATCCATCCAAAAAAGACTATTGATCTTCTACTATGTTCCAACAGTAAAGAAAATAAAAATCCCTGTCCTAGGGAGCTAGTATTTGAGCAGGAGGGCAGACTCAATAGTTAATGAATAAAATGTGTAGCCCGTCATATGGTGAATGAGGTCTACACAGCTTGAGAGGAAATGATGCTGGTTTACACAAATCAAACTTGTTCTCCATTCAGAAACATGAACGGGCCATTCGTGATTGCTGGACATGTTAGGAAAACCAACATTGTGAATGAGAGAAGTGTTATGAGATACTAATGTTAAAAAATGTTACGAGAAGATCAGTATTCATCCAAGGACAGTTTCATAAGGACAACAACAACAAAGACAAGAGAATGGAAGAAACTATAAAGTAACAGGGGAAAAGTTACCAGAGTTGAAGAAAGCTACAAGTCTTTATCTGAAAGAACCCACTGCGGCTCAGAAGAATGAATAAAAAAAGGCTAGAACTGGGCACACACAAGTGAAATTTCAGAAATCTAAGGGAAGAGAGCCCTAAAAGTTTCTAGCAAGAAAAAATAAGTTACATGGAAAGAAGAATCAGAAAAACATTAGTTACGCGATTTCAAGGCCCTTGGGAACAGAATACCATCAGAACTCAGTATTCGTCAGGTTCAGACCTCATCAAACCCAGTACTCATCGCGTTTTGACGAGAAAGAATGTTTCAGCACTGGGTGCTGGACCCGTCATACCTGCTGAAACTTGTATGACTGGTGATGCTGCCCTGCAGAAAATTGCTTCGGCATCCCTCACCTTGTCACTCGTAGGTTTCGACACTTGTCATGAGTACTGGAACAAATTAATGACAAGTACCCAGGTACCACTATATATATATATATATATATATATATATATATATATATATATATATATATATATATATTTAATGCAGTCTCATAATTGTAAATGCTACTGATAAGTTTTAAATTCTGGAGTCAATCTATATACATAACATAAAATAGAATGACAAAGTATATGACACTCCAAAGTGTGAAAATAATAGAGTAACTACAATTTGGTGACAGAAGAGGAAAGAAGGATGGAAGGTAAAGTGAGCTCAGAAATGTCCTCATCTTTTCTAATAGAGGGTCAAAAATTATCTAAGAGAATAAATAAAAAATAAAGATGTATGCACATTAGTGTTTTTCTACTCCGACTGCTTATTAGAACGACCTGGAATCCTAATGGATATGCTGATGCTTGGGCCCCACTGCGGATGAATTAAATCAGAATCCGGTGGCCCGAACAGCTGCATTTTTGAAGAGCTCTCTAGGTGACTAATATTCAGCCAGGCTTGACAGACACTTTAATTAAAGTCATAACGACAACAATGAGAAGAATGAAAAACAAACTGACAGTGACTGCTCTAGGGAATAGCACAAGGAATTTCTAAACAAAAAACAAGAAGAAGAAAGGAAGGAATCCAACTTGGGTTTCTCAGGCTCTGCACTACTGACATTTGAAGCAGGGAACTCTCTGTTGTGGGGAGTGGAAGGGTTAGTAGTCTGGGAGCCCCACTAAATGTCAATAGTACCCGCCCAGTAATGACAGCCAAACATACCTCTAGACACTGCCAAATGTCCCCTGGAGGGCAACACTGCCCTGAGTTGAGAACCACTGGACGAGAAGAACAATCCTGTGTTTTAGTCAAGCAGCTGCTTGAACTACAAAGAAGGTTTGAAGGATTGGACTGTCCTTCTTGTATATACCATGTAAGTTAATGTGCATTTATTCAGCAGCAGGTCTTTAATTAGAATTAAATGTACACATTTTAATTAGAGCACCAGAAAGGAATGCACCAGACCTTATGGACTCTGCAAGCTTTGGGATTTACTTTTAGTATTAGAGTAACAAAATGTCAGAGCAATTATGCCTTTATAAAAAAAAAAGCTGCAGGGCTTCCTGGCAAGCAGCCAGATCTTGCCAATTTCTTTTAAACTTGAGAAAACACTTTTCTCATACTGAACAAAACAGGGGAGACCCAGCCAAACATAACCCTGGGCTGTAGGCCCAAGCTCATTTCAGTTCAGGAAATATTTGAGCATCTATTACATATGCTGGGGATGATAACAATAGTAAAACAAAGACTAGATTTCTTAAATGTTATAGAAGTAACGTACATTTTAAAAGAGAAGGTTTTGAGGCAAAATAATAAGAAACTAGGAACATTCCTTGGCAAGCAGAATAGGGCAACTGAAACAGAAAGTTGAAAAAAATGGCCAAGCAATTTACAGCCAGATACAGGTCACCTCCCTAGGAATAGCATTTAGGCCTCAGCTGTATTTCAGCTCCAGGCCCAGAAAAGCAGCAAAACCAAGTGGACAATGCCAGGACCAGCCTCAGTGACTAACAAGCCCCTACCCTGGCACTGACCAATCGGTGGAGACCATGACCCTTAAAAAGCACACCTGGAGAACTGATGAATATTCTGCTAAAACCCTCCCTTGAGACCTCCCCTAGAATCCCCACCTGCAAGAGAGAGAGAAAAGCCTCAGGACCAAGAACCCAGAGTGTACTCTCCCTCTGGAAATCAGCCCATGCCATTCCCTTTCCCTTCTTCTTCTCCCACTTCTTCCCCCACAGCCATGGCATCTCTAAACCCTAAGGGACCCCACGACTTGCAACTGGGGGAGCAATGGGCAGCTGGCAGCTCGTTCCAGGCTAATGCCCTGAACCTGTCCTTTAGGCCCTCTTCTCCGACTTCCCAGTGAGCTAAGGTGGCCCAGCCTAGGCTCTGCTGTTGCTTCGTCTACCCTACGCCCCTTCTTATTTCACTGTCCCCAGCTTTGATAAATGTACCCTCATAGTCACCTGGACCCCTGTTGTGAAATCTTTCCTACATGAAGTCAAGAACCCCCACCCCACCGGCTGGCTCTAGGCAGCCCCACTCAAGGCCAGGTCCCTTGTGCCGTAAGCTTTCCTTTTTGCACTTCACAGTACTGTATGAGAATGCAGTGATCTGCACGGCCTAACTAAACCTGTGCCATCCAAATGGTGGCCACCGGACACAGGTGGCTATGGAGTCCTGGAAAAACGGTTGGTCTGAATTAAGACGTGCTGTAAATGTAAACCACACTGGATTTCAAAAATGTACATGGAAACAATAAGGTAAAATACTTCAGATTTTCAACTTATATTCTGAAATATTTTGAATATATTGGTTTAAATAAAATATACTATTAAGAGTAAAATTAATTTAATCTATTGCTTTTTAATGTGGTACTAGAAAATTTTAAATTATACAGGTGGCTGACATTTGTGGCTGTCATTTTTTTAAAAAAATATTTTCTTTCTTTATTTTTTAGAGAAAGGAAGGGAAGGAGAAAGAGTGGGAAAGAAACATCAGTGTGTGGTTGCTTCTCCCGCATCCCCTACTGGGGACCTGGCCTGCAACCCAGGCATGCGCCCCGACTGGGAATCGAACCAGCGATCCTCTGTTTCACAGGCCCATGCTCAATCCACCGAGCCATACCAGCCAGGGCTGTGGCTGTCATTTTATTGCTATTGGACAGTGCTGTACCAAACTTGATTTTTCTGGGGCATCCTTGTTAATAATAAGAGCATTTTTTTACATATTTGAGCCTTTTCTCTATATGGGCATTCGGTGAGGGCAAGTTCTGTTAATATTCACTTCTATAGATGTGGTTCTAAGAAAGTACTTGGCACATGGTGAATTTAACTTGATAACAGATCACTTAAATTCACTTCCTGGCTTGATCACATGCTGTGTAATCTTAAATTGTTACTTAACCTCTGGGATCCTCAGTTGCCTCATCTGTAAAATGGGGATAACATGGTCTCAGATCCATTCAATTTGTGTATATTCATGGTAACCCCTCAAGTGCCTCATTCAATCAGTTTTTGAACCTTACATAGAAAAGTGTCTTGAAGCTCTTAAGCAATTTTTAACCCATAGAAAGGTTCTTTCTTGACCATGGCATAGCTGCAAGGGGCATCATCTGGGGGCATCCAGGTGAGAGCTGGGCCCCCTTGGCATAAAGCCCAAAGCGGCTTTTCACATCTGAAGGACAGCAATTCTCCCTCACAGTTGTATGGTGTGTTGGTTGCACAGTATGCATTCAACCCATAGAGTTGTTGCATTAAAAACAGGATCAGAGAGATTATTATATTTGGCATGTATTTAGCTCACTTAGAAAGTTACCTTTTTAACCTAGAGTAGCTTAGATTATTTACTAGTAGTATGGACAATGGATTATAAACTATTCCCATTTTACTCTAAGTAATATATAAGAGTGACAAATCATTTCTTTATTCATCCCTTCAGTCACTCACGTACAAAATGCATGGTGAATATTTTTGTTTCATTGAAAACAAACCTACTCAAAGGCAGAAATTATACAAAATCATATACAGATAAGAATCCTTAAATTGTTCACTTCACCTTTCCAATGATCTACCTGTGCTCTTTTCCTAATTTAATGACAGGTCTCAAATTCAAAACTGCTTTCAACTTACAGATTTAGATATGTAATAACTGCTGGTGAAAACGCCAATTTTGTAGCTTAGTCTCCCTTTTACCTGAGTGCTTATATAATCATGGAAATATTCTTTATTGCTGAGAGGCTGGAGGGCACACTCATTCTTCAATTTAACTAGTGCTTTTCAAACATCTACCCTGTGCCAGCACCCTAACTTTCATATTGTCTTTTCTTAATGGTATTTTAGATCTTCCAAAAGACATGTTAGTTTATTGTTATTTTTTTAAAATATTTTATTTATTTATTTATTTTAGAGAGAGGGGAAGGGAGGGAGAAAGAGAAGGAGAGACACACGGATATGAGGGAGAAATATCGGTTGGTTGCCTCCTGTACTAGGTGCCCTGTGCCCTGACTGGGGACCACCAACATAGGTATGTGCCCTGACCAGGAATGGAACCAGGTAACTTCCACTTTGCGGGGTGATGCCCAACCTACTGAGCCACAATGGTCGGAGCTACGTTAATGTTTTTATATGTGCCAAGTTCCGGTAGGATCTGGGGTCTTATACTATCCACTGATTGTGACAAAATGTTACTAGAGATGCAAAAGTTTAGAAAATTTATACTAAGCCCAGAACAAAATCCAAATATATATTTAGCTAAATGCCTAATCTAATCCTATTTCTTTCTTCTATAAGTGTATTGCTAACAAAATTCTACTTAATTCAAAGTGCTTAACAATTGGGTTCTGTTTTATTGTCTCATTCTAACTAATTTTGTTGATTAGCTGTGTAGAAAATAAATTGATCAGATCTGAAAACTGTTAACAAAACAAACTAAAGAGTTTCTAACGACTTCAATCTTTTCGTGTTGCGCGTCTGCAAACCACACTCACAACTGCCACAGGGTCATTGCTGCGGGTCGCGGCCAGGCTGAACTTCTTCACGTGAGTGTTGGTCTCCAGCGCTTTTGCGAATTCCCTCAGAGTTGGAATTGGGATGTTCTAAGATAGGGAAGAGACGGATAGTTTATAAACCAATCAGCAGCACCTAGGCTTACACTGGGCTCACACTAGGCTAAGGACCCGTAGCTTTTAAGTAATTTATATATTTAGACGACTAATTGCAAGATATCTCTCTAAAAGACACTCATCACCCACCTTCCAGCAGCCAAGCTGTCCCCAGCCAACAGCAGCACTTGGTGTCCAGAGAAGGAACGTAATACAACGTGAGATCCTGGCATCGCCTTTCTGTCCACTAACCAGGAAATAATGCACGTACCATACTCCTCTCTTCTCTCTCGTTCTCTAAAGTCTAACCGGCATGAGCCACTTGCTATTTTTCAAAATATCTCACGGTCTTTTCTCCTCCATACCTTTACATACGCTTTTCCCTTTGTTTGGAAATTTCTTTGTCCTTTCTCTGATTAATTCCCACTCTTCTTTTAAGACCCAGTTAAAATATCACCTTCTTTGTTTAGTGGCTCTCATCGGCAGGTTCAAAGTTCTTATCTGCAATTCCATAACATTTGGGGCCTTTCCACATCGTATTTTAATTATTTGTTTAGTGTTTTTCTCCTAATAAGTTCTTCAGAAGAGACCAAATGAATCATAGTCCCTGTTCGACAGCATTTAGCACAGTTCTGACCCTGGGAAGGGAGACCACGTGGGCCACAGCTAGGGACGCATTTGAGCCCTACACGTGCTATGGACTAGTTCTGTGACTGCAAGCAACTTGACCTTTTTATTTCTATTTTTTTTAATATTTATTTTTAGAGAGAGGGGACAGGAAGGAGAAAGAGAGGGAGAAAAACATCAATATGTGGTTGCCTCTCCTGTGTCCCCCACTAGGAACCTGGCCCACAACCCAGGCATGTGCCCTGACTGGGAATCAAACCAGCGACCCTTTGCTTCACAGGCCCACGCTCAATCCACTGAGCTACACCAGCCAGGTGCAACTTAACCTTTTTAAATTGCATTAAGGATTAAATGAAATAATGAATTTCAAGTATTTAGCAAGAAATCTGGTACATAGTATACTCAACAAGTCAGTTATTAGTATTAAATGCTAGGAATTGGCCCAAGAAGAAGAAACAAAGTGGATGTCAGACAATGTTCTCTCCCTCTCACACACAGACTTCTTCGTTAGGGAGTGACATGACCCACTGACAAATGGAATAGAGTGGAAGCGACAATGTATGACTTCAGAGAATAGGTCATAAAATGCACAGTGGCTTCCTGCCTATTCTCTTTCTCTTGGATCACTCCCTTTGGGGGAAGCCAGCTGTCATAATGTGAGGACACTCAGGCAGCCCTATGAAGAGGGTCATGTGCTAAGAAATTGAAGCTCCTGCCTTGGCCGGTGTGGCTCAGTGGCTTGAGCACTGGCCTGTGATTGGGTTGGATTCCCAGTCTAATGCACGAGCCTGGGTTGCAGCCAGGTCCCCAGTAGGGGGCGTGGGAAAGGTAAGTACACATTGATGTTTCCCTCTCTAAAAAGAAATAAATAAAATCTCTTAAAAAAAAAAAAAAAGAAACGGAGGTTTCCTATAAACAGCCACATGCATCTACCATCTTGGAAGTGGTTCCACCTGCCCCAGTCAAGCCTCGGAGATGATTGCAGCCCTGGCTGAGAGCTTCACTGCAGCCTCATCTGAAACACTGGCCCACAGCTACTCAGCTAAGCCATTCCTGATTCCCAATACTCAGCAATTGCGTGAAATAACAAATGTTTATTCTCTTAAGATTGTAAGTTTTGGAGTAATCTGCTATTCAGTGATAGATGACTAATACACTATATTTAACACAGCAACTGTTATTATTTTCAAAGAATTCTAAAAATCACTTTTTTTAAAACTGCTGCTTATTTTGAATAAGATATCCTGCCTCAAAATCAGTGACTCAAAACATTTCAAACAAGTGATCAGTAATCTCCATTAAGTTTTCTAAACTCATGCTAAATCAAGTGACTGAGGACAATCGCAATGAGGTACCTTGATGTTGTTGAGATTGACTTCTTGGAGGCTGGGATCGTTGGCTTTCATCTGCTGCAGGCTTACTTCCACATTTGTGGGGTTGGGTGGTTCCTCAAATATAGGCTTGACTTTTTCACCTTTGACCACATCTGAGACACAAGTATTTAATTTGAAAAAGAAAATGTAAGGCCTCTCCAGTTAAAATCAGTGATGATTTCCCCACCAAGTGACCTTTCTTGGATATGCACTGATTCTAATAATATTCTATTCTCAACAACAGTAAGATTATTCTTAACTAAGCAAGTGTGGGGGTGGCACAGCCTGAGTTACAGTTCCAAGGGCTGATGTTTCTCATCTGCAATGAGAAGAAGTGTCAGCAGCTGACGCTGCAAGGAGCCAAAGTGCAGAAGACCCTACGGCAAACTCAAACCTAAAAAACACCCTGGGCAGCAATAACTGCAATAACCAACCCTAGCATCTGATATGCAAAGAAAGAAATAATGAATCTCTTCACCTCCTAAACTGTAGTACTTTCTGGCTTTTTGTCTATCCCTCACCTTCCTCTGATATCCACTGTGCAGTGTTAGTTCTGAGGAAGGTATTGGGAGAGAAGTAAAATTGAACAGAAAAATGGAAAATTTTGCAAATGCACTTAACATAAAATGTTTGCAATACATATATATTTGTGTACATAACATACAAAGGGTTAACACTGCAATACACACAGAACTCCTATAACTCAATAAAACAACCCAATTAAAATGAACAAGTAATATTGAAAGACTCTGTAATGCAACTAAAAATATAAAAATAATTAAACTCTGAAATAAAAAATGAGATATGTTTAATTAGCAAATAAAAGTAAAAGACCATAATATTCATAGTTGGCAATAATGTGGGGAAATTTTAAACTGGTACATGCTTTTTGGGAGAGTAATTTGTCATCACCTATCAAAATTTAAAATGTGGAAATTCTAACACAGCAATTCTATATCTAAAAGTCTAATCTACAGAGAAAATAGCATGAATACATAAAGATATACATTCAGGAATGCTCACTGATGTATTATTGGTGACAGTGAAACACGGTAAAATGTGCATCAGTGTGAAATGGTTAAATAAGTTATAGCAAAGTCACACAATAAGATGCTATCTATTCACTAGAAGAATCAGGCAAACCTACATGTACTGGTAAGAGAAGAGAACCATATATATTTTTTAAAGTTAATGAAAAATAAAATACTTAGGTATAATGCTGACAAAAACACAGAGTCTGGCACAAATAACACCCCTTCTTTATTATAAAATCTTTTATTACAAAATCATAAACATGTAATCTATAACATAATAATATCACACTCAAGCCCACCATATGACATCTTAGGTGAAACATTCAAATTGAAACTATAAATTATCACATCCCTACTATTCCCCTACCAACCACAAGCAAGCAGGCATTACTTTTGCCAGAGTCAGTATACATAAAATCAATGTTAGGAAAACTAAAACTCTTGGAAAAAAAATGAAAAGATCACTAAATGGAGAGACAGTCCATGTTCATGGATAAGAAGACTCAATACTGTCAAGATGTCAGTTTTTGACAAACAACCTCTAGATTCAATGTAATTCTAATCAAAACCCCACCAAGTTATTTTGTGGAGATCCACAAACTAATTCTCAAGTTTATATGGAGAAGCAACATACCCAGCCTAGCCAATGCAATACTGCAAGAGAAGAACAAAGCTGGAGGACTGACACTACCCAACTTCAAGACTTACTGTAAAGCTACAATAATGAAGACGGTGTGGCATTGGTGAAAAAATATACTAATAAATCAGTAGAACAGAACTGAACCCCGAAATAGACCCACATAAATATAGTCAACTGATCTTTGAAAAAGGGACAAAGGCAATACAATAAAAAAAGATGAAACAACTGGATATCCATCCACATGCAAGAAAAATGAATCTTAACACAGATCTTACAGTTTTACAAAAATTAACTCAAAATGGATCACAGACCTAAATATAAAATGCCAAACTATAAAACTCCTACCAGATAACATAAGCAAAAACCTACATGACCTTGGGTTTGGTGATGAATTTTTAAATATAACACCAAAGGCATGATCCGTGAACGAAAGACTTGATAGGCTAGACTTCATTAAAAGTTTCTATTCTGTGGAAGACAGTGTGGAGAATGAGGATATGAACTACAGACTGGGAGAAAATATTTGTAAAAGACACACATCATAAAGGAATGTTATTAAAAATATACAAAGAACTCTTAAAACTCAACAATAAGAAAACAGCCTGATTAAAACATGGGCCAAAGACTTTAACAGACAACTCACCAAAGAAGATAAACAAATGGAAAATAAGCATATGAAAAGATGATCCACATCATGCCATTGGGGAAATGCAAATTAAAATGAGATACTACTACACATCGATTAGAATGGCCAAAATGGAACAATAACAAAACCAAATGTTGGCAGGGATATGGAGCAACAGCAACTCTCATTCTTTACTGGTGGGAATGCAAAGTGATACAGCCACTTTGGAAGACAGTTTCATAGACTCTTACAAAACTAAACCTATTCTTACCATAAGAACCAGCAATCATACACTTTGATCCTTACTCAAAGGAGATGAAAAGTTATGGCCACACAAAAACCTGCACATAAATTTTTAGAACAGACTTATTCATAATTGCCAAAAACTTGGAAGGAACCAAGATATACTCCAGGGTGAATAAATAAATAAATGGTGGCACATTCAGATAATGGGGTATTATTCAGCACTAAAAAGAAATGAGCTATCAAGCCATGAGAAGACATGGAGGAATCTTAAACACATATTAGTAAGTGAAAGCAGCCAATCTGAATAGGCTACATACTGTATTATTCTAACTATATGATATTCTGGGAAAGGCAAAACTATGGAGACACAAAAAGATCCGTGGTTGTCAGGGGCAAGGTCATCAAGGAACATGTATAAAGGACACATGGGCAAAGCTGAAGGAGGATATGATTGAGGGTAGGACGTGGGGATGGGTGAGGCAGGGGAGAGTAGTAAGGGTGGAAATAGAGACAACTGTGCTTGAACAACAATAAAACAAAAAGGAAAAGATCAAAACTATGAACACTAAAATGGCAACAAATTCACAACTATCACTAAATTCACAACTACCACTGAATTTAGCCACCAAATCTAGAAAACAAACTAAGCAAACAAGCAGAACAGGAACAAGATTATCATAGATATGGATCATTTGGAGGCTTGTATAGCTACAAGAAAAATTAAGTACTAGGAATAAATTTAACCAAGGAGGTAAAAGACCTATATTCAGAAAACTATACAACACTGAAGAAAGAAATTAAGGAAGATACAAATAAATGGGATCATATACCATGTTCATGAACTGGAAAAATTAGCATCATTAAAATGTCCATACTACCCAAAGCAATCTATAGATTCAATGCAATTCCTATTAAAATGCCAGTGGCATATTTCACAGATCTAGAATACTTCAAACATTTATATAGAACCAAAAGAGACCCTGAATAGCCTCAGCATTCTTGAGGAAGAAGAACAAAGTAGGAGGAATCACAATACCTGATATAAAACTATACTACAAGGCTATTGTAATCAAAACAATCTGGTTCTGACATAAGAACAGATTCATACATCAATGGAAGAAAGCCAGGAAATAAATCCATGTCTCCACAGTCAATTAATATTTGACAAAGGGGACATGAGCCTAAAATGGAGTAAAAATAGCATCTTCAATAAATGGTGATGGGAGAACTGGACAGCTACATGCAAAAAAAGGGAACTACATCACCAACTTACACCAAATACCAGAATAAACTCAAAATGGATTAAAAAAAACCTTAAATATGAGTCATGACACCAGAAAAGTTCTAGAGGAAAACAAGCAGTAAAATTTCAGCTATCCCACAGAGTGATATTTTAAAAAATGATGTCGTTTTTTAAAAAGATTTTATTTATTTATTTTTAGAGAAGGGAAGGAGAAAGAGGAAGAGAAACATCAATGAGTGGCTGTTTCTCACATGCGCCCCACTGGGGACCTGGCCTGCAACCCAGGCATGCGCCCTGACTGGGAATTGAACTAGCAACCTTTTGGTTCATAGGCCCGCACTCAATCCACTGAGCTACACCAGCCTGGCCCACATAGCAATATTTTTGCCAATATATCTCCTAGGGCAAGGGAAATAAAGGAAAAAATAAATAAATGGGACTATATCAAATTAAAAAGTTTCTGCACAGTTAAAGAATCATCATCAGACTAAAAAGCGAACTGACCATATGGGAAAACATATTTGCCAATGACACATCAGACAAGGGTTTGATCTCCAAAATAATATAAAGAACTCATACAACTCAACATCAGGAAGACAAACAATAAAATAAAAAAATGGCCAAAAGACCTGAATAGACACTTCTCCAAGGAGGACATATAGATGGCCAATAGACACATGAAAAGATGCTCAACATCACTAGCCATCAGAGAGATGCAAATAAAAACCACAATGAGATACCACTTCACACTGGTCAGAATGGCCATCATTAACAAATCAACAAACAATAAGTGCTGGAGAGGATGTGGAGAAAAGGGAACCCTAGTGCATGTTAGTGGGAGTGCAGACTGATGCAGCCACTGTGGAAAACAGTAGGGAATTTCCTAAAAAAACCTAAAAATGGAAGTGCCTTTTGACCCAGCAATTCCGCTGCTGGGATTATACCCTGAGAACCCTGAATTACTAATTCAAAAGAACCTGTGCACCTCAGTCTTCATAGCAGCACTATTTACAATAGCCAAGTGCTGGAGGCAACCTAAGTGCCCATCAGTAAATAAGTGGATCAAAAAACTGCGGTACATTTACACAATGGAATACTATGCAGCAGAGAGAAAGAAGGATCTCCTACCTTTTGCAACAGCATGGATGGAACTGGAGACTATTAAGCTAAGTGAAATAAGCCAGTCAGTCTAAGACAAATGATCTTAATTTGTCTTAAATACCATATGATTAATTAAATGTTAATTAATTAAATACCATATGACCTCACCTATAAGAGGAATCTAATGAACAAATTCAACTAACAAAATAGAACCACAGGCATGGAAACATGGAACAGACTGACAGTGACCAGAGAGGTGGAGGGAGGGGCACAATGGTGGAGAGAAGGGGAAGGGACTAGTTAAAGAGCATGTATGAATGACCCATGGACATGGGACAACCATGTACGAACTGACTGTGGGGTTGGGGATGGGATGGACGGAGGAGGGCAAAGGGGGGAAAACTGGGATAGCTGTAATAGAACAACAACAAAAACATCTTTAATAAAAACTAAAAAGAATGAACCCTAACGTGAACTACGGCCTTTGGCGGGTAATGATGTGTCAGCGCAGGTTCATCGGCTGTCACGGATGCGCGCTCTGGTGCAGGGGGCTGAGGACGGGGGAGGCGATCCGTGCAGAAGGGCGGGGGCACGTGAAACTCCCCTGTGACTTCCTCTTACTTTTGTTGTAAGACCAAAACTGCTGTAAAAAATAAGGTTTTTAAAAACATCCTCCACTGAGGATATGTTTACTGATTTTTACAGAGAGAGGAAGGGGAGCAGAGAGAGAGAAACACTGATGTGAGAGGAAACGTCAGTCAGTTGCCTTCTGTATGTGCCCTGACTGGGGATCGAACCTGAAACCTCTTGGTGTATAGGACAATGTTCTAACCAACCAAGCCACGTGACCATGGAAAAGATAATGTTTTGTTTTGCTTTTTTAAGTTAATGCTATGGCCTGACTGGTGTGGCTCAGTGGGTTGGATGTCTTCCCACAAACCAAAAGGCCACCTGTTCGATTCCCAGTCAGGGCACAGGCCTGGGTTGCAGGCTGGGTCCTGGGTCCCAGGTCCGGGGTTAGGGGGTGTCCAAGAGGTATGTTAGATGCTTCTCTCACACACTGACATTTCTGTCTCTCTGTTTCTCCCTCCCTTCCCTTCTCTCTAAAAAATAAGTAAAATCCTCTTTAAAAAGTTAATATGTATGTGTATGTATAAAATCCAAGAAGGTTATGCACCAGACTTGTAGTAGCAAACATGTTATCACAATGTTACCCTTTGATGTTGAAACACAATAAGGTTGAACATTTTTCATCCGCATGCATAAAAAACAAAAAGGAAATAAAAGCAATATTGCTCATCGTCTGGGTAAATTACCCAGTGTAAATGATGACTCACAAGTACGCTGCTGACACAGGAAGCGTCTTTTCCATCCGAGAGAATAAAACATAATGTATCCCAGAAAAGCCGTGTTCTGCAGTGAATTTTCACAGCAACTGGATCGCACTGTTCCAGGATCACCTCATTACTGGTCTGTCTCTACTACAAGTAGGTAAGTTCCTCTGGGCAGTGACTATCTTTTGTCTTTGCACCTAAGCCTAGAACACCCCTGACACGTAGCAGTTTTTTGAGAGATGACTGCTGAGTAAGTTGGAGAATCTAATGGACTGTCTCCAGGAGACATTGATAAGACAGTGGTCTGGCACTTTCCCCCCCAGCAAATCCCTGCCAGTGTGTCTTTCCTGCTCCCTGGGGGGCGTGGGTATTCAAATTCTAACGACAAGCACCCATACTGAGACAAAAAGACACACAAGTAGAGAAAGGAACTTATCAAAGATATTGCCATTGATTAAAACATCTCCAGAAACATGAAACTCTGTCTGCATTCTGGGTGAACTATTAGACCTTTCTATCAGCAATCCTATCTTTTGACTGAAGGGACCTACCCAGAAAGTGTGTTTCGGACAAAACAACTGATTGTCACTAGTTATGCAGCCAGGCAGAGCTCCCGTTATCAACTACTCTATTTTGGTTTGACTGCCCCGACCCCAGTGATCCTTGGTGAACTGACAAAGCCACCTTCGAAGCCTGCAGGACAGGAGTTTCGATGCGCTAGGAGGCCCAGTCCACACGCCTCTCACCCAGCAGACCCGCGGGCTCCCAGGTCTCAACCACAGAGTCCACGTCCACTTACTTCTCACGGGCCCTTTGCCACCTTTAGAGTTGGGTGTTTCCTCATCAAACTTTGGATTATTGAGCAAATTGTGTACTCCAAGAACAGCTGAAAGCAAAGAAAACCAGTAAATAGACATTAAGTTCAGGAAAGCATGTTAGGATATCCATATTGTTAGTAAGTCTCCAGACCCCCATTCTCTTGCAGAGTCTGGTACATGTATAGTGTTAAATAAATGTGTGTATGTGTGTATATATATGCTTATTATATACAATATGTTTAAATAAGCTCACATACATAGTGTTAAATAGATTCATATATATTGTTAGATAAACTCATGTGTGTGTGTATAAAATATATGAAACCTTTCTTCCAAGTCCACTGGAAATCTTCACAGGTCTTTCTACACCTATACCTGTGACACCATTTAGGATCTTGGGGACAGTGATCCAATTATGCCCCAAAGAACTGAAAATCTTCTGAGACCTCCAGTAAAGTAGATTCAACTCCCCAGTTTTCTCAACTGTAAAATGTGAAGCCGGGACTTAATCTAGGGATATTTTAAGCTCTAACACCATAGAGATGATGGCATGCATTTTTCCAGAGGCAAAGAGCAAGATCATAAATCTCTTTCAATGCAAGCCTCACCAAAAGAAGTCATCTTTTCCAGTCTAGAGCATCCCAGGGTGGGAAATCAAAGAGATGCCAGGAATAGAAGGTTCAATAAGCACGTTGAGATTCTGAGTGTCCTGTAGTACCTGGAACTCACACCAGGAGGCAGCACAGTATGGGAGAAACAAGCGGGCACACCAGGCAGGCTGAAGCTGCAACTGCACAACCAGCTTTCCCTTTGCTAATAAAATGACAGGTGGCCCCCTGGTGAAGATCCCTAAATAGATAATCTGTTAACAGGTGTCACTGTACTGCAATCTACACTTTAGAAGAAGGGAGGTAGCCAGCACATCAATAATTACACTTTATCTGCTACAAAGATTAAATGGCTTCCTATGTGTCAGGCACTCATCTAAGTGCTTTACAAATTCTACTTAGTAAATAAGAATTTATTGTTGTGTTCCTGGCATTGTCTAGGGAGAAAATGCCCTACTTCATAAGCACAGGCCACTGAGACCATCCCCAAAACATACCTTGCTTGGGCCCCATACTCATTAATGACTTCTAAGTACAGTTTGGCTCCCATTGCTAAGTTTGAATTTTTGTTTGTTTTCTGTTTCCTGTGAACCTGGTTAGTAGATCAACCCTTACTGCCTGGCCCCGATCTGACTGCTGCTATGTGCAATAACAAGACCGAATCTCTAGCCCAGAAAAGCTGAAAACTAGACTGGTTTGGGTGGTGGCCACACTGAAACACGACCACCGTGGGAGCCGCTGTCTCAGAGGTCAACTGCTGCTCCCTCGGTGAACCAACCACCTGTCTTTCTGCTCTGGGTCTGCCCTGGATGTGCTGCAGTAACGGGTAGGGCACTGGACTCTTTCAAAGGCTGGCAGCCCATTCACGCGGGGGCTGCTCTACCTCTTCCGGAGAGGGCTGCCCTAGAGAAGCTGCCGCCGCCCACCCGGCTGGGCTTCCTCCTGAGTGCTGGGGGGGCACTTGCTGAGGAAGACAGGCTAAGTAAAAGAAACAAGACAGTTTTCTTCTGGGGTTATCCCCCTCTAGTGATTTATCTCTTTCTTCCTTCTTAGGCATTTCCTGGGCATTTAAGCCCCAGCCCTGCTTTCTCCCTTTGGGCAATTCCAGTACAGACCAGGAGGCAACCCTGAGGAGGAAGGGTCAGCAGAATGTGATCCCTCCACAGCAACCACAGGGCTAAGCAGGCTGGTTGCTGCTGAGCACCTTCCTAACTGTGCGGCACAGATGCCTTGACTGCGGATGTGACTGCTGGAGGGATTCAAACATGTGAATTTAATCCAGACGGCTGATACTGCAGGAGTGAAAAAGTAGCTGGCATGGTTCGCAGGCTATTAGGATAAGGCACCTCTGGTTCTCCTGGGAGGAAGAAGATTACAACATGTCTTCCAGTGGAATAAAAATGTGAGAATTCTTGCTAAAGCTGAGGAATGTTTTTTAAAGCACCTCTCTCCCGTGATGACCTACTGACCCTAATAATCCACATTTTCATCCCATTTGGACAAAAGTGCATCCCGTCAGTACACAAAGATGCTGGTGTACACATGGACTCTTTCTCGATGGATGTACAGGAAATGGGAGGGGCCTGTGCAACTAGGGTGAGAGACTTTCATTACATATTCTTCTGTCCTTTTGGGGCTTTTTCTACCTGCATGTATAATCAATTCCATAACAATACAAACCCTTATGATATTGTTGCTATTGTTAGGAAACGAGAGAAAAGTAAGCAGGTTGGGCTGAATGTGCACTTCCTGTACTGTGAACGTTAATAGCAAATTACACCTGTTCCATCATCAGGTCTAACAGATCTCTTAGTGGGGATCAAACTGGAACAGCAACTGGGAAACAGCAAGAACTTCATAGAAATTTTGTGGTGATAAAGTGCCAAATGTGAAAGCTCTTTAGAAAGCATAAGGGCTGTTATTTTATTGGGTGAGTTCTCAGCACTCCTTCACCTTCATTCTCTTGGATTTCTCCCAGGCATTTCCTGGGCATTTAAGCCCCAGCCCTGCTTTCTCCCTTTGGGCAATTCCAGTACAGACCAGGAGGCAACCCTGAGGAGGACGGGTCAGCAGAATGTGATCCCTCCACAGCAACCACAGGGCTAAGCAGGCTGGTCCCTGCTAATAAGCACCTTCGAACTCTTGAGTTTGGTAGGAGGGGTAGAATATTGGGGCAGTTTGGAGCTGAAATACAGCAGAATGTTTGCTCAGCAAGGTCAAGTCACCTGTAGCAAGTCTTACAGCCACACAAAGGTTGAAGTCAACCAGGTATTACATAAAATCGATAGCTATGAAGAAGGTTAAAGGCTACGGCCAGGGGTGCCGGCCTGAAGGTCACCCAGCCAACAGGAAAGTGTCCCTGAGCTGAGGACTAACCTGCGAGATCGTAGAGTTCAGTGTCCGAGGCACTGGCCAAAGCTTCTTCCAGTTCTGGATCAAGGGTCACCTTTTCTTCTTTACGAGTTTCTATGGGCTTTTCTTTGGGGATAAAGACTCTCCCTTTAAATCAGAAGAAGAAAAATAAAACCATTGTGTGCTGCTGCCTTATTTTAGGGTAAATGGACCCACCAGAGAATGCAGCTCTGGCCATTAGAAGCTGAGTCATTATGTCACTAAGCATCCAATTCGGAGCCCTTAATGGCTGGGATGATGCCAGTGTCAATACCAATAGTCCACAAATGGAAGAAAGGAAGGTCAGAGGGGGAACCCTGCATTCTGCAACACTGAGAGCCAAGGAGTCCACAGTCCTCAAACAGAGAGAAACGGCCTCTGCCTCCCTCCTTCCCACCCATTAGTGGCACTGCCCTTAGACCTGGGCAAGGGGGCCCTGCCATGGGCTCCACACTTTTTAGAGGGCCCAGCTCTGGTCTCCTTCGGCTGCACCCTCCCCCCCTCCCTCCCCCACCACAATGCTTCTGCCCCACCTGGGGAAGAATCTTGGGACAAAGGGACATTCCTATCTGGAAGAGAGGCTGCCTGCTAGACCACACCCAAGGTACCTGGGACTGTGGAACTCTGCCTGAAGAGGCCTGAGCCTGCGGCCAGGGCCTGCATCAATCCCTTCTCCATGCCCACCCTCCGGAAAGCACGTCACACTCCTGGGGTGCGTACCCCGAGGCCAGGGGGAGGCTGTTTGTGGGTGAGTATGAATGAAGCTTGGACATGCAGGCTGAGGTGTCAGCCATAGGCGCCTGAGGTCCTAGCAGTGAACAGACATCCCTGTGTGGAACTCTTGGAAGTCCAAGAATGCTGGCCTAGATATATTTGTATGAAGACATAACTATTTTTATAGTTTGTTAACTTTTAAAATATTTGTAAGAAAAATGGCACGGGGGCTTCTATTTGTGTCCTTGTCTTGGACCCTGCAAATATTCGGGCCCAATTCATCTGAATGGCCCTAGGGATTCCTGAGGGACAAACTGGCAATTGATCCTCCAGGGTTTCCTCACACCGACTGAGACTGTAGACTAGTAGGGTGTTACAGCTAGGGTCACTCGACCAGGGAGTGACCTGGGATACGGCCCCCTCTCTAGAGCCTAAGCAAGCCCGATTCAACCAGGGCTGTCACACTCAGAGACGCAGAGGTCTGAGCAGTGGGCACTCTGTGCTTCCCACGCACGCATCCTCTGCCACCACCTCCCACTCCATGCTGCCAGTTGGACTGTTCTTTTGCCCTGACTCACTTCTGAATACGCCGATGTCTGCAGTGCCCCCACCCAACCTCTGGACGAATGATCACACTGCTGGGAGGACGGCACACTTCCTCGTCCTGACTTCCAGCCAGGCCACCCACACCCACACCCCACACGGGCTTTCACAGGTGAACCTAAGACACTCCAGGGAGACCAGAGCAATACCCCAGACCTGCTCATACTCTTTCCGATTCCTCCTGCCTTGGACTCTTGGTTTCTCTTTTACTTCTTGGCATGATCTCTGAAGTTGGTCTCTTCCACTTCGATCTTTAGAGTTCCCTAAAGACTCACTCCTCCAATTCTTCTCCTCTTTGTTACAGTGGCTCCAGCTGGCTCCAGCTTCGGCCAACTGGGGCCCAAGCTCCTTCCAAGTCTCCCTGGCTGGCCTGGCCTTCCCCACACCCATGGGAAAGGAAGGGCCAAACCCAAAGTCGGTGCTTCTCCCTCATGAAAACTCTCCAGGACACGTCCCTGGTCACAGCGGCTGCAAATCTCCTGATGGTTCACCAGATCTTCGAGTGGTTGGGTAAGGAAACCTGAGCCAGGTAGAACTGGGCACCGGAAGAGGCCCCACTCCTTGTGGCTCAGGCTAGGGTATCCTGGCCACAGGTTTCTACCTTTGACCATCATATAAACAGCCATATTTCCCAGAGATAAAGAAAGCACACTGGGAAACAAAATAGGAGAATGGCCAGAAGATAGAAAAGGAAAAAAAATATCAAGTAATCAATAGCATCTCAGACACCGGGGCTTATCCAGACTTAATTTTCATAGTATCTGTAGCCTGAAGCATTTTATTTCTTGACTCAGATGATCTTGGGTCCAGAGTCAAAACTAGGATTTCTAAATTCCTAATTCCCGGTACTGTTTCGGATTACTCTAAACACTAGCTGCACAGGTGGGCCACGGTGATGGGTATTCAGGACGCCTGCTGCTGCACATCCATGCCCTGGAGCCCGACCAAATAACGAGTCCTCAGTGAATAAAGCTACAGCGGAGGGTTAACTGCAGTCCAGGAACTGAGGGCCCAGGGCCTGGGCGTGCGGAGCCGAGGCTGTGCGGCCCCTCTCCTGCGGCCTTCAGGGCAGCCTCCCACTGCTTCCAGAGCCTCCATCTGCTGGTCCCTCCCGGGGCCCTGCAGACTTCTCAGCCCGAGCCCTCTGCTCTGTTCAGAAAACTTGTTCTCTGCTCCTTTTGCTCAGTTGTGCTGCTTCTCCTAAGCTACCTATGCAGTGCATACCCTTTCTGTGTCCCCATTTATCACAGAGACTGCTCCGCACTCCTAACGCCCCTGTGAACCATCGGTAGGTTAACCTGGATGGAGAGGGAGTTGAATACAGTTGCTCCTCAGACCTCTCCTCTGAGAACAGAAGACAACAGCTTTCCTCTATTATTCTGTCACTACCCTAATACTGTATATTAACTGGAATTTTATTGGAAATTTGACATTATAATTTATTTTTTCTTTCACAATTAAGTTAGCCCCAGAGCAACCATGCTGCCATAGAAAGAGCTCCTCCATATTTCACGGGCAATCCTTGCTTACTTGCCCGGTTTGTCACCATTCAACTTTACTTTCTAATAAGATGACTTCAGCGGTGTGTGATGCATTAAGGATGCGGGGCTCGGAGGAGAGCCCGGAGCTGTGTGCACGGAGGCAGCGCTGCTGTGACTCACGGGGGCGGGGGAGCCGTGCTCCTACCCCCAGCGGCCATGACACACATGCTCAGAGATGGCATTCATTCGAACCCACATTTACTGAGTGCCACCCCTCTGTCAGTTTCTGTGCCAGGATGCCAGGGAGACACAGCCTCACTGTGGAGATCTCAATCTGAAGTGGAAAACACACAAAGCCCAAAATAAACAAAAGGATAAACACTGTCCCAGTGCTGCGAGAGCAGGAAATGCATGTCAAGGCAGAAAGAAGGCGTCTGTCTTAGACAGAGAGGTCAGGGAAAGCTGGAGGCCCAGGCACGTAAGCTACGACAGAGAATGTAAATAAAGGGATGTGGGTCAGAGGGAAGAGCCCACGAGAAGCCCTGAGACGGGAAAAGGACTCGGCAGGTCTGGGGAACTGAATGAAGACACTGGGGCTGAGGCTTAGGGAGGGAAGGTACTCGGAGAGGCGGGCAGGGGCAACTCTTCCAGCACTGTGGGGACCCCAGTGAAGGTGTGGGGCTTTAAGCAGAATGGCGACATGATCTGACTCGTGTTTCAAAAAGATCGTGGTTGGTGTGAGGTTATCAGTGATTTTGTTAGTGCCTGTGGGCCCACGTTGCTGTCTGTAGCTGAAGAATCTGGACAGGCAACTGGTATCCACTTCTTCCTCCAAAGGGGCTCAGGGTCGAGATCGAAGGAGGGGGATTTTCATGTCTTAATTCTGAGCTCACTCCGAGTATGGAGAGAGCTCAGGACTTTGTCTCGAAGCCTTTCCAGGGCAGGGTGTTCCTCGCTGCGGGCCCAGCACCTGGCACCTGGCTCTGCGCAGAGGAGGTAACTGCTGGCAGAGTGAATGACTGACTGCACGGACCTCTAACGGTGCCATCTCAAGGAACAGAGCCAGTGACTGGATGTGGAGCAGACTTCGGCAGCAGGTGCAGCACCGGGCTAAGGTACACCACCCATGCCTACGGGACCCTCTTTCAGGCGCAACGCTACTTCACACTTCCAAAACTTCTTCTCTGGGAGTTAGGATTTTTTTTCTAACATAACTAATTTGAGTAGCATCATGCTCTAAGCATTCATTGATGCCTCCGTGATTCTTTCTTATTTAGTTTATAAAGTTTATTTGGGAGAGCAGTTTAAAAATTTTGTTTTTACTATTATTTTTTAATCCTCACCCAAACCTATGTTTATTGATCTGAGATTGAGATAGAGATAGACAGATAGATAGAGACTGATGTGAGAGAGAAACATCGATCAGTTGCCTCCTGTATACTCCCCGACCAGTAATCGAACATGCAACCTAGGTATCTGCCCTAACTGGGAATCAAACCCACAACCTTTTGCTGTATGGGATGACGCTCCAATTAACTGAGCCACCCGGCCAGAGCTGGGAGCAGTTTTTAGGTTCAGAGAGGAGGCCATGGAGAGTCCCTGTATCGCCCCTGGCCCCACGCTGACAACCTCCTCTGTCAATATCCCACAGCAGAGTGGTTCAGCTGTTACAGTCACTGAACCTACACTGACATCAGCGCCATTCGAAGCTTCTAGTTTACATCAGAGTGCACTCTTGGTGGTGGACACTCTATGGGTCTGGACAAACATGTGCACTGACATGTAGCCATCAGCCTTCAATCTTTTTAATAGCGAATCCAATTCATGGGCTTATTTCCCACTCCTTCGTCAGTTCCCGTGCTTGACCTTCCATGACGATACATTAGGAGTACCTTTGCCCCAAGACGTGCCACCTGAAGTCCTTACCTTTCTTCTCTCCAGTGAAGGGCACAAAGTCTTCCCTGTCCTTCTGTTCCAAAGCCTCCTTCTCCAGATACATGAGGAGATGCTCACGGTCAAACGGGCCGGTGGCTGCTTTCTGAGTCTGGTCTTTCTGTCGGAATCCGGCTGGTAGCAGGGCACTCTGATTCAAAGATAGAGGTGTGAGCCAGAAGGAAGGTGTCTGCCCAACTGATACTTTGTTATCCATGCCCCCCCCCCCCCCGGTGTATATGGGGAAAGCATGGAGAAGGACACCCGTGCAGAGATGTGGGATGTGGGAGTGAGCTGAGGGTGGGGTTCTCTGGCATATCTGACGCTCTACTTGCTCTAACATCCTGTGCTGAGAGGAGGGCTCCCAACACATGCAGGCAGAACACAGGTGGCCGGAGCAGCCTCTGGGTCTTCTGCAGCTGCCTTCCAACATGTGCAGGCAAAAGGCCAGCCTTCCTTCACAGCGGCACAGGTCCCACTTAAGGTCTGGTCGGAACTGCACCCAAGGTGCTCCCAGGCAGGTATGTGGACAGTCTACAGAGCAGCCAATATTGCTGCACTCTCTCAGTTCTCACCCCTCTCCTGGGGAAACATCCACGCACTTAAAGTGAATATTATGGTATATGGTATTATGTTGATACCTGCTTGATTAAACTGAGAGATTCCTTTCTTAAGTGTGAAAACTACCAACAGCCCTTGCTGGCGTGGCTCAGTTGGTTACAGTGTTGCCCTGTGAACCATACGGTCACAGGTTGACCCATGATCAGAGCACATGCTTAAGTTGTAGGGTTGGTCCCTGGTCGGGGGACATACAAGAGGCAACCAATCGATGTTTCTGTCTCACATTGGTGTTTCTCTCCCTCTTTCTCTGTTCCTTCCAAGATCAATAAGCATGCTCTCAGGAGAGGATTAAATAATAAATAAAAAATACAAACAGAATACTTATCTTTTTAAAAGTAAATATAATATCCAAGGTGTCTGGCATATCAGAATACCACAGAAATAATTTTAGTGCCATTTTTATTTACAGTAAAATCATTATTTTGGATGCCTCTGGTTCTAAGTTTAAGATAATACCAGCAGGGCTGAAGAAAGTGCTTGTTAAACAAACACTATAATAAGTTATTGGACTGGCCAAAAAAAGCCATGTTTTTTTCCATACGATGGTTCTTAGTAGTGCTTGGTTTCCTTTAACCTCATTCTAAACAATTTTGTTAGACTGTATTGTGACAGCTGTCATATCAGCACGCTGATAATGACAGCTGTCACCTTATCAAAACTGGTGAATTTTTGTGCTGCCATTTTAATATTGAAGATGGAAGAAGATATGCAACATTTTCAGTGTATCATGCTATATTATATCAAGAAAGGTAAAAATGCAACTGAAATGGAAGAAAAGATTTGTGCAGTGTATGAAGAAGGTGCTGTGACTGATCAAACATGTCAAAGGTAGTTTGCAAAATTTCTTGGTACTACTGACACTTTGACCATATAATTCTTTGCTGTGGCATTGTCTTGTGCTTTGGAAGATGTTCAGCAGCACCCCTGGCCTCTATGGACTAGAAGCCCAGAGCAGGAGATAGCTGACATACTGAAACTACCCAAATCAATAAAGTTATTGATGAAAATGAAAAATGAGTCTTTTATTTTACAGAAAAAAAGTAAATGAACTTTTTGGCCAACCTAACACTTAGCTTTTTAAGAGTTCACAAAAATATTAAAATCTTCCACTTAAATGTACTTGATATTATTGTTACAGTTATTCTAATCTACCTACCATTGTTTGATCACCATAGATTTCAAGTTGTTTATGCATTTTAAAGAAATGAGATATAAAAAAGATCTGCCTTTGGGGTTAAAGACCATGTTTAAATAAAATCTCTGACATTTACTAGGATGAGATCTTAGGTAAATTACTTCTCCTAGTTTGTCCCCTCATGTATGAAGTGGTGATGATACCTTAGGGGCTTCTGTGCCCAGCGGAATGTGTGACTCACAGAAGAAATTCAGTAGGATCTGTTCCCTTTCTCTCTTACCTTTCCTTTCCCCCAGTCAGACCAGTCTTTTGTCAACCAATGGAATCTATTTTTTCCTTATTCACATTAAACTTTTTTTTAAGAAATACATTTGCCATATCCTATTAAAGATCTAGTTATTGAGGTTCCCCATAAACTTGTAGAAATAAGGGACTCAGAACCAATCAGGGGAGAGCACAGAACTTGCGTTTGAAGCCAAGGTATCTCTATGCCACTGCGTAAGGACCATGCCACGTCATCTGTCCCAGACCATCACTGACCCCGCGGCTCAGTTCCAGGCCACTGACCTCGGGATCTAGGTCATCGAGAACATTTTCCAAGTGTTTCAGTTCCTCTTCTGAGAGTTTGCCAAGAAGCTCATCTTCATCAATGTTCTTGTATTTCTCCAACTCTTTTTGAAAAGGGAGTGCCATGGTTTCTTACAGGCCTTTTTCACGGGCCATGAACGTTTACAGGGGCCAGCTTCCTGAGGCTTCAGAATACTCCTAATGAGAAAGAAACACCGTCATCTCCTTTCTGTACATACGACTGACATACAGGAGGCAGGGCCAGTGGGAGTCTCCCTATTGGATGAGTAATTCAACATCACCTTCACCTGCAGAGCAAGCTGACCACTTACGAAGTCTTTTCATATACAGTATTTTACTTACTTGATCTTTACAACAACCTGGAAAGAAAGCCTGTATGGACATTAATACCCCATTTTACAGATAAAGATGCTGAGGTGAAGGGTAGCTAAGCACCCTGCTCGGGGCGTCAGGACTGGGGGTGCCAGGCCTTCCGATGCCCGGCGCAGTGAGTGCTCGTCCGCCGTACTACTCACTCTGCCGCCTCCGGCTTTCCGCAGAAAACAGTGAGGAACAAGGCACTAATTGTAAGGCAGTTGTGAGAAGCACACTTGTGTCTTTTCAGAAACAGAGTGGTGGGAAGAATACAAAGCGGGTTCATTCAGGAAAGAGTTTGGAACGTCCATGTGAAGAAGCGTTGTCCAGCAACTCCCCTGCCATTCAACTAAGTTAAGATTCTAAAATCCTGGCTGCACGATCACCTGTCCACTTCTCTCTTTTCTTCTTTCCTCCTTCCCCATTCTCTTTTTAGTCTCATTTCCTTTCTGTTTCCTGGGCCACGCTGCTTAATTCTTTAGACCCCTAGTCCACTTCCTTTCAATCCCCTCTCTTTCTACCACCTCACCCCTAAACCTCTACTCACAATGAAGATTTTACTCAATTCCTTTTTTTTTTGGGGGGGGGGAAGATTTTACAGGCAGTCCCCAGAAAGATAATATTGCATTCAGGAAATAACAATGTGCTCAACCGACTGTTTCTCCTTAGGAGGTACTAGTATCAGTCAGATCTTTCAAGGCAGTTAATATTGGCTATCCCCCCACTAACTGCCAGGCAGAGTTCTAGAAAACAGGAGTGCAAAGATAAACAAGGAGATCATGGCTCAGCGAGACACACAGAGAGGATGATACCACTTGATGAGTGTTATAACGGAAATAATGTGTAAAGTAGGTTTAAAGCACACGAGGAAATAATAGTTGGATAAGGGGGTCTAGGGCTTGAGGGGACGCTGTGAAAAAGAGGTTGAGTGTGATGTTGAAGGAAAAGGTCATGAGGTCGACACGAGAGGGAAAGGGTCATTCTTAGGGAAAAGGAACCGCGCTAACAGAGACACAAAGATGCGAGAGGACGCGACGTGTCGAGTACACAGATGCTTGGTGCTTCTAAAGGGGGGGCGGGTTACGAGGAGGAGAGAGGCAAGAACTAAAGGCACAGAGGATGTCTGTGAAGACCCTTCCTTACCTGCCTTGTCAGAAAACCCGGGCTTTATTTTGTTGGGAGATAAGGAGCCGCTGCAAATTTCTGAAGTAGAGAAATGACCTGAGAAGCCCTGCTTTGAAGAAGGTAGTTCCAACAGTTAAGAATGAAAACTGGGTTGGCAGGTAAAGAATGTCATTCCTTTCCCCTTATTAGTTCAACTGCTCACCATATTCAAGTTGTGGTTTTCGATTTATGTGTCATTTCCTTATATAATGTAACTCTCCTTTTCATCAGTCTACCTTCTTTTTGCTTCAGTGGCTCTATTCCAGCAAAAATAAAACAAAACCCACCCCACTAAAGTCTGAGAAAGCAACTGGATCTTTTACACTTTGTTCTGGTCCCAGCTACCACCCATTGATTGTGGCGCTGGACAAGGACCTCAATCTGCCAGGCTCTTAGCCATCAAATGAATGAACTGGTTGAACTACATCACCTAACAGACTTTATTTTTTTTTATTAAAATTTTTAAAGATTTTATTTATTTATTTTTAGACAGAGGGGAAGGGAAGGAGAAAGAGAGGGAGAGAAACATCCATGTGTGGTTGCCTCTCATGTGGGCCCCACTGGGGACCTGGCCCACAATCCAGGCACGAGCCCTGACAGGGAATTGAACCCTTCAGTTTGCAGGCTGGCACTCGATCCACCAAACCACACCAGCCAGAACCCTAACGGATTTTAAGCTGCACAGTTTCCCACATTTAACATCCTGGAATTAAGATGTGTCTTATAATTGATGGCCCTACAATAACCACTGACGCAGCACCAGTCCAGATGTCCTTGTCACTCCCTAGACAGATGTGAACACCAGAAGCATCTGCTTCAAACTAGCAGAATAGGTGTCAGGGATTTGGAAAAAAATCCCAGGGACTCTTTTAAAATCTAGTAAGGAGGGCGTGGGTGAGGTGGTGACTCAGGTGTACTTAGCAACACTCTCAAAGGAAGGTCCCAATTAGGCCGGTTCTGTATAATTACAGAATAGTTTAAGAGCCAATATCAATAACTTTTATAAAAATACCATTCTTGATGGCAGAGGAGGTACTGTATCAAAAACAGCCAGACACAGATGACTATGAGTCAAAAAATGATTCAAAAAGTTGGAATCTGAACATGAAGACATTTAAGAATATCAACTAATTCATTTCACTTGCATTTTCCCTTTTTATGTACAGGAATGTTCTTTTAAAAATCTATGTATATTCATAGTAGCTTTATTTATAGTAGCCATAAACTCTAAACAACCTGAATAATCATTGGTAGGTAGATGGGTAAACAAATTGTGATATATATATATATATATATATATATATAAAGCTACTCAAAAATAAAAACAAATGGACTACTGATACACAGAATGACATAGATGAACTTCAAAATAATTATACTGAATGAAAGGAGCCAGACCAAAAAGAATATACATGGTATAATTCCATTGATCTAAAATTCTAGAAAATGTAAACTGATCCACGTGACAGAAAGTAAATCCCTGGTTGTGTATGGATCAAAGAAAGGTAGGGAGAGAGAGAGGGAGGGAATGCCAAGGGGCATGGGGAAACTTGGGGGTCATGTGTATGTTCATTGCCGTGATTGTGGTCATAGCTTCAGGTGCATGCATAGGTCAAAACTTATCAAATGGTACAGTTTAAATATGTGCAACTTGTTCTATGTCAATTAAAAGACATCAAAAGTCTGTAAGTCAAAAACTGCTCTTTCAATAAAATAAAAAAGTATATATTTAAAAAGGCATGTACCACATTTTAATTTTTTCTTAGTGGTACATAAAATACTGGTGTGTTTTACGATTGATGGTATCCAGAGTTAATACGATTCTATTTGTATTTCTATTCCAGGGTTCTACCAGTATACCCCAAGTCCTCATCTTCCCCTGAAACAGATTTACTCTCTTGATTTTCTAGAAATCTAGATCATACCATTAATTTACCAGTCAGTCACTTCCAAAGCTCAGATTCCTCCCTTCACTCCAGGTCTAGTTGGTTGACACCTCTTGTAGAATCTTACTGCACAGGACTTTCCACACCATCCCTTCCTGTCACTCTTGCTTCAGACTTTTGTTCCTCTGGGCCTGGACTACTCTCATTACATCTTGAAAGGTTTCTGTTCTTCCCTCTAAGCCACCCAGATCACCACCATCAGATCATCTTTCTTAACAGTGCGAACAAGCCACTACCCTGGTGAAGGACTTCCAATGGCTCCCTATTGTCTACAGAATAAAATTCAGACAGTCTAGCATCCAGAGTCCCTGGACTGTGGCTTTGATCTGCACTTCCTGTTTTCTTTTTTCATTACTTTCTTAGGCAGCCCTCCAATCTAGTCAAAATGTTTTATTCACTCTATGTGGCAGGCAGAATAATGCCCTCCTAAAGATGTCCACGTGCTAATCCCCAGAACCTGGGAGTGTATTTATGTGGCAAAGGGACCAGTGTAATTAAATCAAAGATTTTAAAATAGGGACATTATCCTGGATTATCTGGGTGGGCCCAATTAATCACAGGGGTTCTTAAAAGAGGAAAGAGGAAAGCAGAAGAGTCAGAGAACAAAGATGTGGCCACAGAGGCAGAGGTTAAGAGTGATGAAATTACTTTGAAGATGCAGGAAGGGGCTGAGAACCAAGAAATGTGTGTGGGCTCCAGAAACTGGAAAAGGCAAGGAAGTGGATTCTGCCCCAGAGCCTTCAAAAAGGAAGGCATTGATTTTAGCCCAATGAAGCCTGCCTTGGACTTCTAAGCCCCCAAAGTGTAAGATAATAAATTTGTCTTGTTTTAAGCCACCGAATTTGTGACAGTGGCAATAGGAAACTAATATATTCTCTTATCTGTACACTTCAATTTTCCAACATAATTGTTCTGGATATCTTGTTTGCCCTTCCACATCCACTCCCCACCCTGCTCTGTGCCCCAGGAAGATGATGTGTTTACACTGCATTGGTGGGCTCCCTTGCTGTCTGGCTTCTGTTTGGCCAATAGAAGGCGCTAGCAGGAAACTGGAAGGCAGGTGGAGGAAAGGGAGGTGGGTCCAGAGGCCACATCTATCAGGCAGCATTCTCTGTACAGCGGCACTCCCCATGCTGACTTCAGTCCTTGGGGGTGGTGAAGGGTCTCTCTGTGGCTAGGGCCAGATTTCTGCCTTATTGCATTCCTCAGACCCTCCCTATGTCTTTATAAATAGCTTCTTTATTAAAATTCCTTCCAATTATTCAGCTTGTGTGTGTCCTCTGTTTCTTATTGGGCCCTTGGCTGATGTAGTAATATTACTTGGAATTCCCTTCTTTGTTCTCATGAATAAGCCATGTGCTCTGCTTTTGAGACCTGGCTCAGATTCCAGCCCCGTGATGACCACAGACTGGCAGAGCTGACTGAGGCCTTAAAGATCATCCAGTCCAGCAACATGGCTGTTTTTTCTCCTCCTCTTTCCATCCTGATCTGTTTTGACAGTTCCTCTTCCTCTGCCTTAAATACTGGCAGGCTGCACGGTCCTGTCTTAGAACTTTTATCACTATACGTTTTCCTTGGGGGATTTCATCTCCTCCAAAATTTTAATTATTATCCATACCCCAAAGATCCCCAAATCTGTGTCTTTGTTCTGGACTAGATTTATATATTTCTATCTGCTTAACCGACATTTCTACTTGGCTGCCTCAGGCCCCT